TTGAACAATTATAGTTCAACATTTGTTTTCGTTTAATAGAGTTTTTAACACAGTCAGCTCATTTACCAAGAAAAGTGTCAGAATTAAAGGTCAGGATTTATAAAAATATAACACTTGTTGAAATGTCAGTCAGGAAATTGGCTTTTAAAACCTGTGAATCAGACCTGTGTGCCTGTAAATGCCAACACACACAAATACAGACACTCTTAGGTGTGAACATTGGTCAGATCAATCTGTCTTTTGTCTCCTCTGTTTCTGTGTGCTGGTACCATGAGTCTGCTGGTTGTTTCTTTGTGTAATACAATGACAAAACCAGCAGATCTCAGAGGAGCTCTGCACTAACTCTGAGCCCACTTCACCTTGTCTCTTTTTCTGGACATAGATAGGATGCATATTTCCGCTGAGTCAAGTTGTAGCACAAATCCTTGTTGTCGTCAGAGATCATTAGACCTGATGAGGTCGATGTTGTGAGGAGGAGCAGAGTTTACAACAGTCCCAAACATCAGGAATAAAACCGCTGCACAGTGGTCATGGAGTTTTTGTTGATTGTCTTGCTGTAACGTTGGTTTCAACTTCCTGGATGATCACACTACTTTTGAAGTCATGGTGATAGCTGGAAAACTTTGTCCAGTCCAGCAGCAGGTGTAGTGAATTCAGTTTGGCATGGATGTAAAACCTTGAACAAGCTGTTGCACATCAGATTTTCCAGTGAATTTTCTCCGGTCTTTTAAACTCCTTCTCGGGAGCTGGAGCATTCACCCTGCCATCTTGAATTAGATGTCGGCCATATTCGTTCCTATGGATACTTGTGCGTTTGAGTGTGTGTTTGTGGGTGTGTGAGGGGGAGGGGGCCTCTGTATGTAGCTCTTTACATAAAAAGGAACTTGATGAAAACGTTTGGTGTGACATGAATGCATATGCCTCATCAGGACTGAGGAGATAAAGCAGAGCAGCAGGAGAAACTTAAAAAAAAGAAAGTCTATATATAATTCTATATTGTGCAGAATATTTATAGGCCTTTTGTGCCATTGAAGTCATGCTCTGCGCTGGACATGCCGGCGCTTTCTACCATGTGATCATTATACATCGTCTTGTACTGATGACCCGTGGCTAATTTGATTGTTTTTTCATGTCAAGTGCATTTTTCGCAATAAATGCCTTTGTTTTAAAACAGATCTGTTGTGTGCTTTTTGTCTTCTTTCAGCCTTCAATGGAGACATAGCAGAAATTAAGGGAAAAATCACAGGCCTGTGTATTCTGATGCATAACAAATGCATTACCTGTGCAGCCTGTGAGAATTTTACAGCTGCCCTCTGGAAGATTCACCCTGAGAATCATATTATATCCAACTCTAATGATAATTAGGTGCACTCACTGTGTGCTCATTAAGAGCTTAGGAGGCTGGTGAGCTTTACCACGGGCTCAATGATCTGACAGGCAGTGTCTCTGTCCTCCTCATCATCACACACATGCTGCCAAAGGATATGAAGGCACAAAGCTCTTCATGACTTCTTCCATCTCTCCTCATACCTTCATTTTTTTTCTCTTATCCTGTCTTTCTTGTGTTCTAAAGCCAACATCAGCATGAACGAGAGGTGTAATTGGTAATTTCAGAGCATCGTCTGCTCTCCCCTTAAATGACAACCTCATCTCTTCAGCAGCAGGGCCTGTCTCCAATGATCACCTCCATTTGCATTTAGAGTGACTCACAAAAGGTGACAAGGGTGTGCATATGTGATGTGTGTGTGTGTGTGTGTGTGTGTGTGTGTGTGTGTGTGTGTGTGTGTGTGTGTGCAGAGGAGGGTTTGACAGCTATCTCGGATGTTGGCACACACAATTTACACAAACACACAAACTCAGTTACTTTCCAGGCAGGCAGCGAATTCAGACTTTTCAGATTTCTGCTGTGCTCAGATAAAGATCACCTCCGGCTGCAAATCAGGGAGAAAACACTTCCCACCCAGATGCTGAACCACCCAGAGAGTAGCTCAAAGTGTTTGTACACACACAAAAACATACACTTCCATACACACACGCTTTCTGCACAGCTGGTGAAATAGTTCCCCTCAGGGCGTCCTCTTCCCAACCTGCCTGTGAGGTGCTGCAGGACCCTGCAGGGAATCGATCAGCATTCCTCTGCTCTACACCAGACCTGTCTGTCCACCTGTCTGCGTGTTTGCTTTGAGTCAAATCAAGGGCAGCAGAGCCAGGGGGTAAGACACTGCAGGGGATAACACCTCCACCAGGCAGCACAGGGCACTCTCTTTGTGTGCGTGCGTGCGTGCGTGCGTGCGTGCGTGCGTGCGTGTGTGTCCTGATAGAGCCAAGTGACAGGCAGGGAGGCTGTTAAGCTGCTGCTGCTGCTTCCTAAATCTTCTGAAGCTAAGGGGAGCTTGTGATCATCTTCTATCCTCTTACCTTCTGATAAAAGGGAAATGAAAATAGATGTCCCTATTATAGACATTTCTTTATAATAAATCACAGGGGGGAGGAATTTGGTCAGGAGATGTGCACAGGTCTTTCAATCCTATGAAAATGCAATAAAGAAAATGTGTTTTCCTTCCTCTGGTTTACAAATGTATTTCATCCCTCTCTAAAAAGAAAGAAAACTTCCTAATAGCACAAGCTCATCTGACATCAACAATGCTTTTTTTCTATTGTTAAGGTCACACCCCACCTACTAACCCTTAGGAGATTTACATTCGATGGAAAGGCTTCAAGACAGTCTTGGCTTTAAGTATAAAAATATGCGACCCTGACCTCTGAGCAGAACCTGGCCAGAAGTCGTCCAAAACTAAATCCAACACAGTTGTTCCTCTTCACCTCACCATACAATGAGTATTCATGATACCCCCTCTCCCAGGGGATACGCTGTTTGAGCCGAGTGTCATCACAGCGACTCTCTGCGACTGCGCGGCCGAATGCGCGCATTGCTACTGCACAGCGCTGGTTTCAGGAATTAAAGAAAAATACCGGAAATACAGAGAGCTTTTTGGCTTCAAATCTGTATACAGGCGGTAGGCAGAACCAAGTTGTCCATAGTATATACAGTCTATGGTATCGACCATAGACTGTATATAGAATGGACAGAGTCTGCCTCCTCGCTGGGTGAAGCCACTCTGAGAACAGCACCCTCTGGTGATGGGCTGCAGTATAGGTCATAAATCCCGCCTCCTCCAGCAAAGCTTATGGAGCTGTGGACAAACTTTAAAAATTTATTACACAGAACATAATTTTTTCTCCCCCCTGCTTGTGATGTTGACATGTAGTTATTGTAAGACTGGTTTGTGCTCCAGTCCTCTTTTTTTCTGTGAAACTCAGTTTTTTAAAGTTATTAGGGGGTTCATGTTTTTATGATTGACACCTGATACAGCCTATGGGCGTTCAGGGATTGCGTAGCTCTCCCGGGGGATACGCTGTTTGAGCCGAGTGTCATCACAGTGACTCTCGGCGACTGCACAGCCGAATGCGCACATCGCTACTGAGCAGCGCTGGTTTCAGGAAATGAAGAAAAAACTCAGAATTATCGAGAGCATTTTGGCTTCAAATCCGTATACGGGCGGGAGGTGCAACCAAGTTGTCCATAGTATATACAGTCTATGGTATTGACAATCATGCCGCCTCCTCCACCCCCTTCGAAGAGGAGGGATACTAGAAGCTTCTTTCGGCCATCAGCAGCAGCCACAGCCACTGTAAGTAATGTAAGAAGACGTCAATGTTGTGGAGGTGGGGGAACACCCCTAATTTTGCTACTGAAGGTCCGACATGCATCAGAGTTAGCATAACATTAAACTATGTGAACTTGCTAACCTGCAAAACTCGAGTAGGCAGCTGCTTAGAGAGAAGTGCCCTGTATGTGTTTACTGTCAACTTTAAATGCTGGAAACTATATAACCAGAAAAACGTGAGTAAGAAGTTGCTCAGAGAGAGGTCCCAGTCTGTGTTTAACAGAAAAGTGTTGACAATAAAAAAATAAAAATAAAAAAAAAAACACATGCTGCTGCTTTTCTTCTTGTAAACGGCCTGGTTTAGAAGGAAAGAAGGCTAGAGCATGTTGTGACTTAATACCTATTAGTGCATGTATTTATTCAATAAAGTGTATTTATTTTCTAAATTATTTATTTAAAAATATTTTTATTTGCAGCCTATGCAGACATTTTTTTCAGATAATCATACATTAATCATGATAGAGGTAAAAAGTTCATTTAATCTTGATTTAGATTTTTTCCATAATCTCCCAAACACTGATGCAGTTTAGATGAAAATAACGGAGAAGGTGAAAGAGACAACCAAGGACAATGTAGGCTAACATGTAGTTCCATGTATAGGTTAAGTAATACCCCCTGACCCCCATTCACCGAATCAGTTTGGTCTTATTAACGTCCCGTCCCCAGCAAAAAAATGTACATGCAGGTTATGCTGTTATATCGTCCTTACCAATGTTGAGACCAAACCTACGCCCTTGGGTATGAGTGATCTGCAGGGGTCATACCTACCAGGAGTAGTTCAGGGAAGAAGAACCAAGCTCTGTACAGGTCAGGTGGACACATTATCAGACAGGCGGTTGTTCTGTTGAAGCTTACTGGTGTAGAAAATGGCTGTCCATCAACGTTCACCATCTAACCTGACAGAACTGGAGAGGATCTGCCAGGAAGAATGGCAGAGGATCCCCAAATCCAGGTGTGAAAATCTTGTATCATTTCCAAGAAGACTCATGGCTGTACTAGCTCAAAAGGGTGCTTCTACTCAATACTGAGCAAAGGGTCTTAATACTTATGACCATGTGATATTTCAGTTTTTCTTTTTTATTAAATTTGCAAAAGTTTCTACATTTGTTTTTTTCTATCAGGATGGGGTGCTGAGTGTACATTAATGAGAAATAAAATGAACTTTTTTGATTTTAGCAAATGGCTGCAATGAAACAAAGAGTGAAAAGTTTAAAGGGGTCTGAATACTTTCCGTACCCACTGTATTCACCTCCTCATAGACAGAGCAGCTTCTTTTTAGGTATTTAGGTTAGCAGTGGACTTTATTTTCTCTTTGCATTTGTTTTCATGTTTAACACAGTAGATCCACATATCATACATCAATACAGACTACACATTTGGTTGGATAGGTATTTCATATTTCATACGTTTTACAACACAGAGCGATAACTAAAGGCATCTTCTCAAATACTGAACCTCAGCACTATCAGTATTTCTTCATTACGGGCTTCTTCATAGTTGATTTAAACTACAGGTCATTTGGTAAATCCTTGTCTTATTACTGTTTAATCAACAAAAAAGAAAAGACTGGATGATAAGTGTACCTACTGTTTTGAATTTGATGAAACTGATGAAACTATTTTTCTGTTGAAGGTACAGATTGTATTTTCAAAGTCACCTCTTCACTCCCTATGGTAGCTTAGCAGCTACGCAGTGTTACAAAGCACTCTGAGGAATACTTGAAAGAGATTAGATCATTGTGTCGCTGTGAGAACTGGCCTTTAAAGAGAAAGGCAGTTTGGAAACAACCATGTGATGCCATGTTAGAAAGAGGATGAAAACAAACAGAGAGGCAAAGTTAATTGTGACAAAAATACAAAGGTTTATTTCAAAAGAATGGAAAAGCTCCCAAATAACACTGTTCAGTCCTTAAATATAAGTGTGGCACTAAAGTATATCTCCTACAGTTCTATTAGGCATCGATGTGTTTCCCTGGAAGTGAGTGTTTGATGGAGAGTGTGTCTTTAATGAAGCTTCACACAGATAAGGCACTAACTTGATGAGCACTACTCCAAGTGTAAAAAGTGGCAGTGTTGGTGAGTATGTTAATCAAATCGAAGTGGAAAGCAGCAGTTCAGGGTTCTAGTCTAGACTCTGTCCTGTTCAGTAAAAGGCTTGGAGGTGTGAAACCCCATCTCTTCAAGCCATGCCCTCTTCCTCCTCTACTACAACAAACACAGACAGTAGAGGAATGTATCGCCTGATCTTTTTCAGACAAAATGCATCTTATAAAGGTTGAACTGTTATTGTCAAAAATACAGAACAAGTAAATATCTAGATATAAATATATACTGTAACATGTACCTTCTCCCCCTCATGGTAAATGGTTTCCCTTTAGAAAAAAAATCAGAGGTCGAACAGTGGCTCCTGGTTTCTGTAATGCTGGTGCGCTTATCACAGAAGCATCAGAGGTGTGAGGGAAATTATTCAGGAGCACAGAGGTCAGATATCAAAATACCCTGAGAGCATCCTTAATGCTCATGACAACTCTTTATGATGAATACACTAAATCAGTTTTCACACATCTTTGATGAAGCCTCTTTTCAGGCATGGCTCCTGCAGTATCACTGGATTTCCTCCAGATCTGTCGAATGAATTTCTCCACTTTGCAGCCGCAGCTGTGCTGGAGAGCAGCTGGACGCTGAATAAATAAAAAAGGGATAAATTGTTGATTGTTTATCTCAGAGGTTTCTTAATGACCTGCTTGCCTCTGCCTCTCACTACTCTAACCCCCTGCTGTGGAATTGACCATGTCAAATGAAAAATTCTGCTCTCTTATTGTTGTTACCTAATAATCAAAAATGCAGTTGGACAAAACAAGCCATCGTGTTGTGGTTTGTTGTGTCTGAGTCTCTTGGCTGGAGTGGCTGACATGAATGAGAATAAATAGGGAGTCGTTTTGAACATGGTAAAGCCTGAAGGTGCTCTTTTCTCTTCATTAAGAATTAGGCTCATATATAAGCCTCATTATAACATTAATGTCTGAAAAGGACTTTAAAATAAACCACTGATGTTAAAACCATAAAAAACTGTATAAGAAAGCATGAAGAGTGTTTAAAATATGAAGTGAAGCTATGAAAGACTTTAAATGTAACAGAAGTCCCTTATATAGTCTTCTTGTACCTTTCCAAGCCCTTTGTTCATTGTACAGCACCTGCTGAGATGGCTGTGTGAGGATCAGTACAATGAGGTGTTAAATATGTGGAAAATGTAAGTATTACATGATACTGAGAGGATAAATATAAAAGTTAACACAGACATATAAAAGCCATAAAAAAGACAGAAAATACCATTGAAAAAAAGTGTACACAGAACTCATTCAGCTTTGGCAAATGGTCAAACTCTCACCCACACACACTCTGCTGGTGGATGTGGGGTGCCTTTGATTAGTGTTTGAAACTGGCCACTGAGGGCATGGGGTACAGGAGGAAACTGGTTATACTGGTCAAAGTGGAAGTTAACTTCAGATCCCAAAGTCTTCACATGAAGCCAGAGCTGGAAGAAGAGAAAATAAGTTCAAAGTGGGTCAGATAGCAATGTCTCCATAAAAAAAATCACGGTATCAAAATAAACACATCAAAACATCCAGTTTGAAAACAGAGTTAGACGGAGAGCAGGAGCTGTCACTTTTGGAAAAGAAGCTGCACGGGTACATCACAGAAAACAGGTACAAACTGTCAGCCAACATCACAACTTTAACGTGCAGTTTCTGTCCAGCTGTGGAGCTCTTCTCAGGAACATCGGTTTTTACTATATGGAGTTTGCAGTCTGACAATCCTAGCCTACAGTACCAGGGATAACTGTGAGGTACAGACCCACTGGTTTTAACTTGGGGAGTGTTTTAAATCTAAAGTTAGATCAAAAGTTTTATTTACAACTTTTTCATGCTGTACTATATTTAGTTTCTCGAAAAACATGAAGATGACCAGATGATAAAGAAAAACTATTAAAAGTGGTGTCACTAAACTAGTCTGCCTTTCTATGTATTTCAGCACCACCATTGGTATTACACTGTAAATGTGGATGAATTTAAAGGATGTATTCAATCATTTTGAAAAAAGAAAAAAAAAAGCATCAAAGCATTTCTAAAAATCCAAATTTTCAGGTAGCTAGTAGCTTTGTCCATAAATGACCAAACATCCACTTCAATTCAAAATACCCAGATTCACACTGATGCTTCTTCTTCAACCTTGTTTACTCTATTTTTAGTCAATCAGCTGTCTTTGAGTGTTTGCTCTTACTTCTTGCGGTCTTTGTCCTTCTTGCCATTGGCAGTAAGGCTCTGAGCCTGCAGCAGCTGGGCAGCAGCTCGCCTCTTGCTGAAGGAACTCTGATCATCATCCAGGAGTCTCTTCTTCTCTTCCAGAGCGGCTTTCTCATCTGCATGCAGACGCTTCAGCTGCTCAAAACGACTTTGCAGCTGGAGCACACAGAAAAGAGTTGAGTTGTACACGGGAATCAGTTTTCTTTCTGTACTAGAACCTCATTGATCTGCCTTTCGGGGAGCAAACCAAATGACTTGGTGACATTAACAATTATCTTTATAATTATCTTAATAATCTCTGTCTTGAAATATTTAAAGGGATATATCGGGATATAAATTTAAGTGAGTGGAAAGTTTACGATTATTACTTCATGGAAATGCAATCAGACCGAGACGCTAAGGCAGAAGAACTACCATGTCCTCAGTGCACATACAAGAGACATAAGTACTGTGATCCCATTTCTATAAAGTAATAATCATAAATGTTCTTCCTTGAGCTGTGAAACTCCACTGCACTCAGTGATTGACTCGTCAGGGCTCCCCCACAAACAAGCGGCTGCTGGAGAAGAGTAGGTGAGTTGTGTTTAGTCTCTTTGCTAAAGAAATCAGGCAAAGCTAAAAAGATGTTTGGTGGTTAGTACTATGGCTGGGACCCTACATGTACTGTTGATGAAGTTAGGTGCTGTTCTGAGCATTATTTGTGACTACAGAGTGGCTTTTTGGTCGAGCTTTGTGTGTGAAGATGTAGATCGCTGTGTATTGCTATCGTTCAGTCGTTACTAAAGTTGGTAAAACTAGAGAAGCAAGCAGTCTGCAACATTCATCTCTCAAGGGGGTGTCTAACTCGGTGTTGCTGTGTGTTTGACCATAACTTAAATTTACGCCGGAATATCCCTTTAATAAATAAATGTCCAAAATAAAAAAACTTGCATTCTCTAGAAAAGAAAATCTATTTTTATGATTAAAGTCCTTTTGGTACATGTTTTGATTATTCAACTAACCGTAGGGCCAACAAACCAATTAAAAAAGTAAAATAACCAAGTTCCTTCTTTAGGTGAATATGTAATTCAGACCTCTCTTTCAGCCTCCTTCAGCTCGGCCTCTTTCTCCTTCACCCTCTGCACAAACATCTGCCTCATCTCATCCTCTCTCTTCTGCAGCTCCACCAGGAACTCCTGACGCTTGGCCTCGTACGTCTGCTGCAGGCTGCACAAACACAAAAACAGATGTATACAGGTAATCTCAGTTGATGATCATACAGGTGTTTCTAGGTTTGCTTCTCACCTGACGGGTTTGCACTCTGGGTCTGTATCTTTGAACCCCATTTCCTCCAGTTTGCAGCGTCTGTAGAGCTCATAATGGCGAGTGTGAGTCTGCTCTCGCAGGTCCTCCATGTTGACACAGATCAGCATCTCTCTTAATTTGACAAAGTCGCAGTGGTTTTCATTCTCAACTGCAAGAAGTAAAAATATGGAGGAGTGAACACTGTAAATGTGGCACATTTCTCCGAGACCTTTTTATACTACCTCTTCCAAGAAAACATTTTCTCCACTTCGCACTAAAATCCAATTCTACATGACTATTTGAAAATGTACAGAGCTCTTTTGGTTTCATTTCATTTTCTATGAGGTGTAAATGTGACAGTTAGTATAAAAGCTAAATCTCCCACACTGAGCAGTTTTCCATTGTTTGATGTGAACCTATAATTCACAGTAAGAGAGAGCACAGGTAATACAAGCACTGTTATGTAAGGAGAAATACATTCAAACAGGGATATAAATCTTACCTTGAACGACACCCCAAGGATACTGACGAGCCTTCACCATCTTATTCCCGACAGAGACCTCCTCTGTGCTACCTACAACTGCGAACGGCAAATGACCCTGCACACACAGTCGATTTGATTACACACACTTAAACATTACAGAAGGCAAAGATATAAGACAGCCTGAAGCAGCACGATACTAACATTAAAACTACATACATGTGTTGTTGGCACTGCAAGTGACAAGAAGGAAAATAAAAAGATCTCTGTATACCTATTGACTCACAGATGTTTACATCCGCTCCCTCAGCAATACTCTTACACAAACATGCATATGTCTGCACATAAAGGATGTGTTGTTATAACCTTGCTGATGCTACAAAAATAAAGGTGTAACTCTAGAAATAAACCTCTGCAAGCCTATGGGAATATAGTGTACACTGTAGATCTGTCAGGCTGTGATAAATGGACGGGAAAAATCCACACAAAGAACTCCAAAAAAACTTCATCTGAGCTTTAGACAAAAGATACAACAACAACAACAACAACAACAATCAATTAATAATAGACTACAAGTTAGGCCTGGGAAATTATATGATCATGGAATGATCGTGATAAATTTTAGTTCGATCACAGTGATCAGCTGTGAACATATTTACTCGATCAAACATAGCAGAAATGTGCGTGACAACAGCCAATCAGAGTCGAGCTTTTCCTGCTCCCTTATGTAAGTTGCCGGGGAAGTAAACAGGGGAAGTAAACCGAATGACCAAACGTGGATCTAAACGTGGATCTAAGGGCAGCAAAATAGATGTCACCCATGACTTTAAGTTATCCTCCAAAGACAAAATTGTTGAGAACAAAGTTATTTAACGTTGGCTGTGTGGCTGTGGTTCAGGTATCTCCAAAGTGACGTCAAGCAATTAAGCCAATGTGCAAGGTAGGTCGGCGGTCGGTGCCCTCAAAAACTGGCAACACAACAGATTCTGTTTAATCATTTGAAGAAGTACTTCCTGAATGATTATGCAGAAAGGATAAAAATGTGAGCAGAGTTTGCACAGCCTGTCACTGCTGACGGCACAAGTAGCATTAGCAGTTTAGCAACAACTAGCAGTGGAGTCACCAGACCAAAGCAGCAATCAATTGTATCATCTACTTTTACATCATGTAATTTTACAGTTTAAGGTGTCTTCATTATCCATGAGGGGGCATTTTGTTTATTTTGGGTCTTGCGTACCTGCAGAAACACTCAGGACTGTAAACTAATTCACTGTATTATTAAGTACTTAATCTACATTTGTTGTACCGTTGAGTGAAAATTGTTTTCTTTAGTTTTTAGTACAGATGCTTTAAAACTGGCAGTTTAAAAAATATTGTGATAATAATCGAGATCCGGCGATATGACAAAATATATCGTGATATATATATATTTTTTGACAAATCACCCAGTCCTACTACAAGTTCATTTACACACTTACAATCCTTCTATGGTGACTATTAACAAAGTGTAGTCAAAAGGATTGAACTCACTAAACAAAAAACAGAATATATGAGCTCTACTGTAACATAACCTGCTTCTAAAAGAGGATCCTACGTCACTGTTTTTTTGAAATGTGTGTGTGTGTGTGTGTGTGTGTGTGTGTGTGTGTGTGTGTGTGTGTGTGTGTGTGTGTGTGTGTGTGTGTGTGTGTGTGTGTGCGCACAGTCTCTTACATTCATTGTAGTGTTGACTTTAGCCACAGTCTCATCATCTAGGGGGAACTGGTAGATCTGGACACCATTGCTGACCAGCTCACTCATGATTTTGATCTTGAACTTGTGCAGCTCCGACTTGCTGATGGTGTCTGCTTTGGCGATCACTGGTATGATATTCACCTACGGTAAGAGGAAAAGTTCAAATCCTCTTTAAAAAAAAAAACTAAAAAAACTTGTACATCTGAATGCAGTGATGACTTTGCAGACAACTCAGATCTTTAACTTTCAGTAGTAAAGAATAAGGGGATAATTTTCATGGAGCAAGAAGTCCTGATTAAATTCACACACATTTACCTGTTTTGTCTCCAAACCCCAGACCCCCGTTTTATATAAAGGTAAAAGCTTGTACAACAGGATTTATAACTTCTCTGGACTTTGAGCAGAGCTGTGAAGGGACAGTAGAAATGCCAAAGGACATCTAGAAACTGAGCTAAAAATAATATCATCTCACTGCTCTGACACATTAAAAAAACAACTATTAAAGACATTCTGGGGATATAAAAACCCTTCAGCTAAGTGTAAACCATTCCAGCAGTATTTATTTTAAATAGTCTATCTAAACTTCTTTGTAGGAAGTGTTGTAAAAAACAGCTTGACTGATGTTATTTCTGGAGCAGTAGCCCACTCTGCTGTCCAAATCTGTCCACATTCCTTTTTTGTCTGTCTGTCTGTCCGTCTGTCCTCTGGTCCCACCAAAGACAGGCCTGGAATGATTTGCGGTCTCGAGACAACCCACTGGGCCAGACCACACACACATACATGCATGTAGAACATACAGTGACCCCAGCAGAGAAAAGAATAACAAAGACAGCCAGCCGTTCCAGCAGCTGTCTGACTGACTGAGTGACTGAGTGTCTGTCTGTCTGTCTGCTGCCACAGAGCTTCAGATTCAACAAACTGTCTCTTCTGCATGTGTCTGTACAGTGACACAAAAGGACAACTCGAGTGTGTGTGTGTGTGTGTGTGTGTGTGTGTGAGGTGATTACAGCATTCCACCACGTTTTCTGGTCCATTCACACGCAAATCCAGGGTTACACACACCCCAGAGCACTGAAATCACACTGACACACAAACAACACAAAGTCACTACACACAGGGAGCATGGGAAAGTTTGTGGCCACCTCAAGAGTGAAGGGAGGAGTTCAGCCAGTCGGGGAAGGGAGCCTCTCCCAACAGTCCCAGAGCAGAACCCCGAACAAAACATTCACAACTCAACTGTGACAGATCTCCCCATTTTGACTGAATAAAGAAGTTTGTGAACGCCTGTGATGTTTCATGATTTTCCCACTGACATAAAACATGGACGGGTCACCATAACATCACAATACAACAAAGGCCTCAAGAATAAGCCAGTTTGTTTAACAGAATCCATGTCAGCAGAGGTCCCAGCAAAACATGAGACTTGCTTGAGGTCAGTTCACCAACAGGTCCTCAAAGCCAAACACGTTTGGTCTTTCGATTGGACATACTGAATAAGATGTCTTTTATTCTATAGCGTGTTCAGTTCATTCTGGTTTGACTTCTTGTGTCTGGAGGTTTTCCTGTTTTTAAACTGACTCTAAAAAGTGTCACATGATCATAACTGCATCAAAGACAACCATTTTTTAGATGCATTTATATATGAGATATTGTTTACTCATGCCCTCCAGGTTACACATTTTCTCTCAAGGTTATAAGTCACAGCAAACACACATGGCTAAATTTTAGCTGTGATAAAAGGCTGCGTAATTGGACTCACCGTACAGCCATACAAACATCTGTACAGCCCAGCCCTAAATACAGTATAATGCTGTCTAGGGTTTAAAAGCAACCATAATAACCAACTGATAAGTAAGTGTGTTCAACCTTTTAACTCTCAAATACAGTCATTCTTCTCCTTACCTTGCTATCAAGCTTTTTCATTGTTACCAGGTCCAAAGATTTCAGCGAGTGGCCTGAGGGGGAGATGAAGTAAAGGCATGCGTGGACTCGCGAGTCATGGTAGTTGTGGAGAGAACGTTTAATTTTGAGCTCCTCTTGGAGATAACTCTCAAACTGCCTGTCTATGTAGTCCACTACCGGCTGATAGCTGTGGAACAGACATATGAAAGCTGATCAGAAATCTAGACCCATAATGAAAGTACAATTACACATATGATATTTGACTCAGAACTAGTTTTATTTCTTATCTTTTAAACATTTTCCTACACTGATGTGGTGTCATTACCACACTGGGGTGAACTTGTCTTCTCTTACCTCTCCTGCTTGTTCATTTGATCCCCAAAGCCCACCGTGTTGACCACAGTGAGCCGAAGTCTGACGTTACTCTCCTGGAGGTCGTAGGTTTGAGCTCGCAGCTTCACCTGAGGTTCAAAGTGAGATGACTCAAAGTTCTCAAAGTTTGTATTAAACAGTGTGTCCATCAGGGTGGACTTGCCGATGCCAGTTTCACCTACAACCAGAATACAGAGAATCCACAATTAGAAGTTGTTGAACCTCACAGTCAAGATGTATCATTTCATATTGTTAAGAGAAGTTTGTGTGAAAAATTAGCATGTGTGGTGCGTCCCTGACTGAGCTTTATTTTTGAGGTGGTGTCATATGTGTTTAGGATGACTTTTTACCTATGCAAAGAATATTAAAACAGAAGCCTTGGTAGATGGACTTGTTGACCAGCTGATCTGGAAGACTGTCAAAGCCCACATGTCCTGCAAGGGACAAAGGCCGAGCTCCTTTATCCTGGAAGAGAATCACATACACAGACAGATCACATTGCTGCTGTAAAAATGTCCAGGTAACTACACGACTTCCAGGCAGTTAATGTTAAATGTACTCACCTTTTTTTTGTCGGAAACTAAAAAGAGGTTATTGAGTACAACATTTACAATTCAAAAGCATGAGCTAAAAAAAATTCTTTTTAATCTACAAACACCTGGAAAGTTCAATCTCTCTTCTCATGAGTCTTTGTATCACACAGCAGTGTACAACATTTCCATTGACCTCCTTACCCCGAGACATAGGGGAGAGTGGGGTAAGATGAGCCATTTTTCATATTTCGGATCACCACATCAAGGCAATCATAGTTTTGTCTCTAACTAGTGTATCTGCATATATTTCAAGACGTCGTTCATCCCTGAAAACCAACAGAATGAGTGTAAACATAACTGTTTCGATAATATAGCACGCCAGAAAAATTAGTCTCCTATGTTCAATTTACCCCGTGTATGGGGTAAGTTGAACATAGAAGCGGGGTAAATTGAGCCGTATCTCTACTACCCCCTGACTCTCCACCCCAGCCCTCCCTCACCTTCTCTCTCCCTAAATAACAGTCACTTCTTCACATTCATGTGTATTTTTATCTATTATAACATATTCAACTGGTACAATAATTCTTTTCATTATTGCATATAACTGCTAAAAAGCTGTTTTGTAAAAAGCCATTTTAACACGAGAATGTCTTTCAAGTGATTCAGAACATTCACAGCTGTATTTTTGAAAAGAAAAAGTATCACATTTCAACAATCTGAACTGAAACTCTGATCCTCTCATCAGACTTCTTTACTTTCTCAGTTCAGCCACTGGCTCAACTTACCCCAGAACAACTATTATGACTTTATTAGTCCTCTAAGCTAAAATGGTGGACTTTTATGTCATGTTATCTCTCAAAGATACCACAGTTGATGGATAAAACAAATTTTTATTTTTTTTTTCTGAACGCAATTCTAATAAAACTTATGACAGACTAAATTCACTGCCAAGAGTGAAAAATGTTATTTTTGGAAATAAATGTCTAAGCCCTTCACCCATGTGCTTCTAACCTTCACAGACTCCATGAATTGATGCCCATCTCCTAAATATTTGGTAACATGATCAATTTCTTTGACCATTTCCAAGCAACAGGGGGTGGCTCAATTTACAATTTACTCCACTCTCCCCTTCACCAGAATCTCAGATTAGGATTAACATTGATCTAGTTATAGTGGGTAAAAACGTATTATTTTATATCTAGGTTGTATAAAGTTGCGAGAAAATGTTATATCAGCAAGCCATTGTTTACGTTGTGTTTGTTTTGTTTTTAAACCCTGTTAAGAGTTCACCTACCTGAGCCTAATACAAAGAAACTGCAATCAAGTAGCGTTTATCAAACAGCTGTGCGACTTTAGATTACTCAAATATATCTAAATGAAATGAAATGAAATGAATTTTGGTCAAACAACAGTTCATCCTCATGTGTGATCTCACTCTTGAACAGTAGTTCAGTATCAGCTAACGCCCTCCTCTGTGGATTACGGTGATCGCAGTTTCACGACATCCCTTTACAGCAGTTAAGATTTTAGATTACCCCCTATGATAATGTTCATGTATAAACCTAAGAAGCAGATTGGTTTGCGCTCTTGTCATGTATAATCCACACGGTAGCTCCGATGATTTTATCAACCTAAAACAAGCAACCATAGCAGCAACATAGTTTCAGTGCTAATGGTAGCTAACTCTACAGTAGCTTCGAACACTCCCTGCTCAGCTGTCACTAACAATGAAATTTATCGATCAAAGAATCAAGATACTAACCGGCTGTCGAGCAACATCCGTAGAAGCCATGTTTTTCCCAATAGTTAAGTATTTTACAAATAAAATATAACAAAGCTAAACAAATACCAAAAGCACTTTCAGCACACTTATCGAGACCGCCTTAGCACCTCTACCGATGACAACTGGACAGACTATACCATCGAAAACAGCATCGGAATGGGGTTCAATCTATGTTTTGTACTTTTACTTTAGTCATCAAATTTAATATTTTAGGAGAAAATTCTTTGATAATCCAAAATCTTACACCTCTACGGGTTAGTTACATCGCGACCGTGGGATAAATAGGTCAAACAAAATGCACTGACTCTATGATTGTAACTACACCCCCCTGTTTTGTTGTTTTGTGGAATGGTACAGCCCAACTTCATTTTCCCAGCGTCTTTCCCTGTTCATTTCACGGACAGTTAGAAAAATCGTTCTGCAGAAAATCAGAGACTCAGTCCAATTACTAGACCTTTTACGTTACTCAAAATAAATACATTAAATTTTAGCACGTGTAAAGCATTTTAGTCGTCACTAGTTGTGTTCGTATTGAGCTTATCCACTTATAATGTGACTCTGATATCATTATAAGAACTATCAACAGGCAAAAGTGAGATATGTTGACTCAGAAAAAGCAAGTAATTCAAAAAAGACCAACTCAACTCAACTTCCCTTTCGTGGCACAACGTGAATTTCCCTCTAGGTTAATAAAGTATCTATCAATAAATCTATCTATTTATCTATCTGACAGACAGAATGAAGTTTGGTCTAAAAAATGGGGGCTTGTTCAACTTCATTAGCAATTTGCCAGCAGAGTGTACGTAGAGCTCTTGAACGCACCATCATTGCAGCGATGGGCTGTTCGCTAGTGTTCTTCAGCGACGTGCGACCCCTATCTGTCACAGCCCGACACTCCCTATGGATGAGGGGAGGAGGAGGAGAATGGGTCATAGGATGCTGTCATCCGTCATCTCGGACCTCACTTAATGATGGTCGCACGAACATGGGGTCATTTTGAAACGTAACGTGTTTACCCATCTTTGCCTGCCCAGTTCAGGCCGTTTGGGATGACGATGGCGTCCCGGTGCACGGAGCAGGCCGTGCAGGAGTTCTTGATGGAGAGAGGAGGGAGGGTCCAACAGATGGAGCTGATCGAACATTTCCAATCAGTGTGGGGGGAGACTGACCCGTCGAAGGAAGGGGTGGATCGCGAGGTGCTGAAACGCATAGTGGAAAACGTGGGTTTCGTGCAGGTGGAAAACGACGTGAAATTTGTGTGTCTGAACACCGAAGGAATCACGGAATCGGTGATGCGTGGGGACACAGACGGCCACGATCACCCGGAGTGTAACGGGAATATCCAGGAGACACTGGACAACAACTATGTCAACAGCTACACTGACAACGAAGGCCAAACAGGTGAAGAACACCTATTGTTGATGAAGTGTTGTGTCTTTTTAACAATCATTTATCCGTGCTAAGGTATGGGATTGATTTGTGGTATTTACTGGGCATAGTATTCTGTATTTAATCATAATATGGTCGAGCATTTAAATGTTGTTATTATTATTGTTATGGTTGTCTTATTGGTGCATTCACGCTTTTTGGTTCAACTGCATTGTCTTGCATAAACCTTAAAAAAAAACCCATAGCTAACAAATATCTCGTGGCCTGTGCATGCTATATAGCTACAAATTGTGACAATACAATGACTGATGCTTTATGTTTTGACCCATTTCTTCTTCTGAAAAAAAAAAAAATGTGTAAAAAATTTCTTTCCAAATCCAAGAAAAACAAAATAACGGGGATTACACGATGTCTGAGCATACCTATAGGGATTACAGTGGAAAGGTTGCACTTGAGTCAGTTAAGGTTCAGATTAAGCAATTGACACCCATTACACTTTAATTCAAGTATGTTCAATGGCTCTACAGGTGCACCTATTCCATTGGCTGCCAGCCTGGATAATGAAAAGCGGTCTAATGGCAATGACCAACCTGCAGCCCCATCTAAGAATAGTCGGAGCAACACACCAATTCCCACACCTGGTGGAGGAGGGGAGGTAAAGCTGAGGGACAGGAGGAGGCGAGAGTCAGCCCCAATATTAGGGGTTTCAGATCTGGACCAGGCTCATTCTGCATTGTCCCACAACCAGCAGATGAGAGGTTCACGCAGGGTGTCCAGGGGCTCCCAGAGAGCCATGCTCATCAGCTGCCTGTCTGAAGACAGCCCCTTTGATGGGCTAGACCACATTGGAGATATCAACACACCCAAAGGGAGTCGCAGGAACTTCATAGAGCTGATGATGAGCAGTTCGCCTCAGGTAGGATATTTGTTTGTTTGCTGTGGAAAACAAAACCTCCAGATAGAAGATTATTATTAGTAATAATTCTGTCTGTGGGAACTTTCCTGGAGGGCGGGGTAGTTGTAGTAAGTCACAATGAAAGCATGTGAGAGAGTGTGTCAACAAAAACAGCAATAAAGATTTCAAGAAAAAAGCTGTTGCCCTGCTTTTGATTGTTTTGAACAGGGACAGCATACTTTCAGCCACACCTGGCAGTGATGTCACACCAGGACTGTGTGTGTATGTGTGTGTGTGTGTGTGTGTGTGTGTGTGTGTGTGTGTGTGTGTGTGTGTGTGTGTGTGTGTGTGTGTGTGCTTAAATACCTGAGTGAGACACTGTCATCCATTAAGTTAATTAAGCAGGTTTCCCTGCATTTGCTGTGGTCCGACTTAAAGCTTGGTTAAGAGAGCAGCCTCTGGCAGCTCACAGTGATCACACCCATTCAGGGTGTGACTGGACATGTATTATTCATGAAGCCTGACTCTACAGTGACAGTATTCTGTTTTATATAACTCAGATCAGATCAAGCGCATGGCTGTAATCCAGCCTGCTCTCTGTGGCTGTTCGAACTTTGACCCTTTTATGGTGATTGTCAAAGGCATTAGCTGATGTGATCAAATGTTATTTAGGTCTTTGAATCCCATTTGACATTAGCTTGATGCTTCACTGAGATAAAAAGAGGTGGTCAGTATTGTAACAATGAATCTCACTGGACTTTTATTTGTAACGCTTCAAAACTCCTTTGGATATCTCTCACAGAAGGGCCGCTGGGATAAAATGTCAAAAATGAGAGGCATTTTTATTTGACCTCAAAGATTCCCACATTTAATCTTTTGTCTTAAAATAAAATTGTGATAAGTGCATATCTTTTGTTCCTATGCTACCTCGGTAGGTTCGGCGATCTTTGATCAACCGTGGCACACGCCTGCGTGACTCAGTAAAGAGTGATGGAGACTCCACATCGATCCTCTCTTCGACCACCGATGAGGACTGTGCCTCAGTGACCCTGGACCCCCTGGAACATGAGTGGATGCTGTGTGCCTCAGATGGCCTGTGGGAGAGCCTGCAGCCGCTGCTAACTGTGGAACCCAGCCTGGTGACCAAAAGAGACTTTGTGACAGGTTTCACCTGCCTCCACTGGGCAGCCAAACAGGGCAAAGCTGAGCTGCTTTCCCAGCTGCTGGAATTTGCCAAGGAAAACTCTATACCCGTGAATGTGAATGTGAGATCAAGTGCTGGATACACACCACTACACCTGGCTGCTATGCATGGACACACACAGGTGGGTTGCAGGGACAATGGGAGTTTAGTGAGGGGTCATGTGTTACACCAGCTCAGTGAGGCAGCACATAACTTTACACACTTTATCTGCTGTAGCTAGAATATTTTACGTTTCTTTTTGTGCAAAACAGAGTCTTTGCTTCCTTATTAAGAAAGGCACCATAAGGACAGAAAAAATATAAACTCAATATAAAATGTATTAAATGACTGTGATATAATGTAGAAATATAAAGTCAGCAGGTAGACTATTGAGCATGTGTAAAAACCTGGAGCACATTTCATCACTTGAACATCCCTGTGTGTATTTCCTTTGTTTTGATTGACAGGTGGTTCGTGTGTTGCTATCAGACTGGGAGGCGGACCCCGAGGCCCGAGACTACAGCGGTAGGCGAGCCATCCAGTACCTGCCCCCACCGCTTGCCGCCAACCTGCAGGAGGAAGGAGTGGTCACCTCACCAGGAGCCGAATCAGACAACGAAAACTCCAACAGCAGCAGTGGGGGCCGTGGCTGGCGGTTTCCCAGAGTCCTGCAAGGCAATCTGAACCCACTGCGGCTCCTGAACCCACCAGCTGAGGCATCAGAAGAAAGGGGAGCCACTGAAAAGACCAAGGGGGGGATGCAGAGGAAGTCGTCTCTGGGTCGGCTGAATGCTCGTCTGCATCGTGGACGCCACCGAGCACAGATCATCCACAGCGCCTCCTTCAGGGACTCAGGGGAGGTGGGAAAAGGGGAGGAGCTTCCCAGCAGTCCTCTTCGAACACGACCACTATCCAACCTTTTTGGATGAAGTCTCAAAACGCAGATCTGGAAATACAGAGATATAAACCAGCACGGATTTACAGAGCTCACTAACACTTACAGACTGACACATCAGGCACTTTTTCCCCTCAGATCCACAGGTCACATTTTGATAAACAGATTTAAAAGTTTTATCAACAGAGGTTTTGAAATCACCTCTGATCTATGTTTGTCTTAAATCTAACTTATTTTGGTTCCTATTGCAGTTGTTAGGTTTATGTTGATTACATTGTAGCATTATGTTTGCACAGTATTTGAACTACAGCACTGAGAATTATGTTTGTTTTTATTTAACACTCAGCCGTGTTAGGAGCAGGTAGCAAACTCTTTTTCAGTTTTATATATTTTATATGTTAAACTACAGCATTGATTTCAAATTGTCAATTGTTTTCAGAGTGAATTGAAACATTTCAAGAGCTAATTTTCTATTTTTCAACCTCGTTTGATTGAATGGTGCTGATTTTTGTATCTGTGAATGGATTTTTGATTTTAGTAGCAAATAACATAGCTGTAGTTCCTTGTCTTTCCGCACCACCACGTACAGCTGTCTTGTTGGCACTTGACACTTTGAAGAGAGTTTAGTGGTTATGAGAGGAAACTGCTCCAACTACAACCATGCTGGCTGATATATTGGTCCCAATCCTATGAAATCTTATGTGTTCATTTTGTTCACATGATGTAAGAGAGTGATCAAACTGTTACACTCAAAGCTGTATAATCCTTTGTATATACATATATATATTATTGTCAGGTATTTCTCTTTACCATTGCATCTGCTGATACTAAAGTAAGTTTAAATGTATTGTTAGAAGTAAGGCAGGTTGCCATGGCTTCAATCAAATACAAATCACTTTATCAAGGTGCTGATCAATAACACTGGGACCATTCGGTAAGGTAAAAGCACAAGAAGAGCCATGTAGTTTTCTGATGTACCTCTAATCCTCTGAGTCTGCTGCCTGGGTTCAACTGGTCTGGGCCTCTAATAGTGGGTCGCTGCTTTTTTGTGCTAATCCTCAATTCTTCACATCTGTGAAATATTTCAGCTAAAGGAACAAAATCAAGTAATCACACAGATTAACCACTTAATGCAGAGTTGGCCAGTTTCATAATGGAATAGGTATTTAGGTCACTTTAAAATGGTTCCAACCTGATCTCACTGAACCAAACTTGATATTTAATAAGTAATCACTCAGATTGATCTAATGTTGCATGTATCAAAACAAATTAGTTTCTGCAATTTCTGTGAATTATTAAGAGTAAAGATGAGAACATGCAGTGTGTAGCTGAGGAGCACATTGACTTTTGGACTGTTTTTAATGATGATGTAAACCTAACATATGTCTAACTTATGGCTCAATGGCACATTGTGTGTTTCATGAATGTTCCCTTATCATTTGTAGCTTTCATACTTCAATCATAGGGGCATCATAGATTTGTATCGTTAACTCTTTTCATGTGGAAATGTATAAATTCTTATGTCACTTTTTCAGATGCATGTTTGAAATGCCGTGCACTGATACTTTTATACATCTATAACTCATTGTTTTTGTCTTCTATGTGAAATACTGTGAAGTTATTATGTGGTGTGAATACACTATCACTGAGCCATTGTCCTCTTCTTGTGCTTGTGTCTTCCTTGGAAATGAAATAAAACAATAATAATTTTAATCTAACTAAAGTGGGCACAGAAAACTGAGCAACAGAAAACTGCTAAATGAGATTTCAAGGCCATCAAGACTGACAGCAAATGTAAGAACACAGACTCAGTTAGAGGGATCAAACATGATGGTCAGCATTTGCCAGCCTGACACCAAGTGATTGTGCCTGTCTGCTGGTGCTGAATAATTGATGATCTGACCTCCCCCCTCTCTCTCCCTTCTGCCAGCTCTGGTCCAGTTTTCACAGTTTATCCACAGCTTCCTGTCTACAAGCTGTCTATGTAACACTGCACCCAATCTATTCACTGTCAGTTCTTATTCTGCACCTGTTGTGTCTGTTATACTGACCAATCATTTTCATTCAATTAAAGAGGGTCCTCGACTGACCTGTAGCCCAGCTCTGGGCTTATTTTAATCAGAGTTTAGATTAGATTTAATTTCCTGTCAGACACATCCAAATGCTGATGAAGGTATTCTAAAAAAATTCATCAGTATTCAACAAATTTATCACTAGACACATAATTGTACCTTTAATTCAATGCATATCATTGCAGATGAGAGGAAAATGTGTAAAAACTGACTGGTGAGTTAAATAATATTCACAAATCCTCATGCATGAAAGGGATATGTGACATTTTCTGTCAATACACTTGATGCCTAGTATTGCATGGATAGCTACATCATAGACAATAGTCTCGACTGATGTTCTTCCAGTTTCCTGCTCAGTCCTCTGCTTCATTTTCACCAGAACGAATCAACCAAATAAAAGAAGGATTACATGTGTTCGCTCATTACAATCACAAATGGGCAGCTTGTGTTTATGTAAATGCTCTTGAGTCAGAGTCTGCTCTTTGATGTCCCCCTCATCTCTGTTTATGCCTCCCTTGTCAAAAAAGATTTATAGAGGTCAGCGAAGGGATGAATTTTTCCTGGGCCAGTAGATCCCAGAGTTTGGTAGCCCGAGGCAGCCTATTTGTTAAATTGCTGCTGATCAAGAGGCAGTAGAGAGGCTGTCTGACTGCAGCTACTGACCTACATACAAAGTGAAGGGACTAATGCCTATTATGTAAATTCCTCTGCAATCTTTTCAGGGAAACTGTGCCAACTTTTTGCCTGGGGCCTTTGCTGTTGGACTAATCCATGTCCAATGTAACCCCATCTCCCACTCTTTCCACTAACAACTGCCATAGCTACAGTGGTGTTCATCTAAAGCCTGGCTTAGAACTGGCATTGCCAAAAAGTCACCAGCTAATGTGTACTGTCTCAGAAGGCCACCAAGCTGCTAAGAGCTGTTCACTGTTAGCTGGATGTTGTAGTCCTCTGACATACATTGAAATAAAGTTAGCCTCACTCTGCATATGTTTACATGTTTAATTGTTATTAATGTTATCTTATTACACTCAATTTGAGAGGATTTACTGTGAGATTTTGATCTGGAAGAAATAAACTACAATTTGTGAAGAAGATCTGCAACGTGATCATTGTTCATTGTAACTGTAGTTTGGAGAGACATGTGTGTTAATGCTGCAAATTACGATTTCTTCTCAACTCAACGCAGCTGACCTCAGTTTTTAAGTTTGACCCACAAAATTGATTGGGTGCACAGACTGTCGTGATTTATCCAACAGCAGATCTAACACAAAGATGCAAGACGTCTTAACAAACTGGTGAAAAAGGCTGGCTCTGTGGTTGGACTCAAGCTGGACTCAGTGGAGGATGTGGTGGAGAGATCTACACTGAGGAAGGTGGAGACCATTCTCAAGAAGGGCCATCAAGGTGGTGGACAGCTCCTCTCTCTTCGCTGCAGAAAGATTAAGAAGATCTTTTGTACCAACAGCCATCAGGCTTTATAACTCTTATGTAAATAATAGATAACTTTTAGAGACATATTACGTGAGACAACAGACAATTGAATTTCCCTTGGGGATCAATAAAGTTCTTCTTCTTCTTCTTCTTCTTCTTCTTCTTCTTCTTCAAACCAGTCTTACTGTAATTGCATGTCAACACCGCAAGCAGGGGGAGAAAAACATATGTTCTGTGTAATAAATTTCTAAAGTTTGTCCACAGCTCCATAAGCTTTGCTGGCGGAGGTGGTATTTATGACCTATACTGCAGCCCATCAACAGAGGGTGCTGTTCTTGGAGTGGCTTCATCCAGCAAGGAGGCAGACTCTGTCCATTCAGTCTATGGGCTGCTTATTGGGCTGCTTTTCCTCCGCGTTCATTCCCCGGTTCCCCACATGGCGTCGCTGTTTGAAATGAGGCCACTGCACTGCTCCTGCAACTCGTTGTTTCTTTTTGAGGGCAAAGTTGAAGACAAGCAGAAGTGCCATGAAGTGGGTAGTTCTTTTATTCTCGAGAATTCATATACAGTGATTTTCCTCACATCGGAGGCTAACTAATGTTAGGTAAGTGATGGCTAGTTTTACAATGACTGCGGTGAGCGTAGCTCTGTTATCATCGGTGTTGGGACGATTGGAGCTAAACGTTATATTTAGAGATGCTAACGTCTACCTGCCTGTGAACAAACTGACCAATAACGGTGGAAATAATGACTGAAAGTTACACATTTAATGTTTTTTAGACAAAGCTTTGGATGTCTTGTTTGCTGTCCATCTGTTGTCAAACAGCTTTCTAATGTAATGCTGTAATGTTACACTAGCTAATGTTAACGCTAACACCGTCAGTTATTCAGCTGTTACATCGCTAACGCTCTCCTCAGTCATAAACACACTTTGTATACTCTCAGTTAAAATGTCATTATTTAGCTAAAAAGGTGAACGTTAACACTTTATTTGCACAACCGTTGACTTACATAAACAGTATAGTTATTATTTACAGTACTAAGCACTGATTTAGTTTTGTGACTATAGCAAGTGTTATCCCCATTTGTGTTACATAGTCGTTTAAAGCTTGGTTTAAAGCGCTATTAAAGGGATATTCCAGCGTAAAATTAATTTAGGGTCAAACACACGTAACACTGAGTTAGACACCCCGTCGAGAGATGAATGTTGCCGACTGCTTGCTTCTCTAGTTATACCAATTTTAGTAACGACCGCACAATAGCAATACACAGCGGTCTGAGGAGCCATACACAAACCTCAACCAAACAGCCACTCTACACTCACCGGCCACTTTATTAGGTACACCTGTCCAACTGCTCGTTAACACTTAATTTCTAATCAGCCAATCACATGGCGGCAACTTAGTGCATTTAGGCATGTAGACATGGTCAAGACAATCTCCTGCAGTTCAAACCGAGCATCAGTATGGGGAAGAAAGGTGATTTGAGTGACTTTGAACGTGGCATGGTTGTTGGTGCCAGAAGGGCTGGTCTGAGTATTTCAGAAACTGCTGATCTACTGGGATTTTCAAGCACAACCATCTCTAGGGTTTACAGAGAATGGTCCGAAAAAGAAAAAATATCCAGTGAGCGGCAGTTCTGTGGGCGAAATGCCTTGTTGATGCCAGAGGTCAGAGGAGAATGGCCAGACTGGTTCGAGCTGATAGAAAGGCAACAGTGACTCAAATAACCACCCGTTACAACCAAGGTAGGCAGAGGAGCATCTCTGAATGCACAGTACGTCGAACTTTGAGGCAGATGGGCTACAGCAGCAGAAGACCACACCGGGTGCCACTCCTTTCAGCTAAGAACAGGAAACTGAGGCTACAATTTGCACAAGCTCATCGAAATTGGACAATAGAAGATTGGAAAAACGTTGCCTGGTCTGATGAGTCTCGATTTCTGCTGCGACATTCGGATGGTAGGGTCAGAATTTGGCGTCAACAACATGAAAGCATGGATCCATCCTGCCTTGTATCAACGGTTCAGGCTGGTGGTGGTGGTGTCATGGTGTGGGGAATATTTTCTTGGCACTCTTTGGGCCCCTTGGTACCAATTGAGCATCGTTGCAACGCCACAGCCTACCTGAGTATTGTTGCTGACCATGTCCATCCCTTTATGACCACAATGTACCCAACTTCTGATGGCTACTTTCAGCAGGATAATGCGCCATGTCATAAAGCTGGAATCATCTCAGACTGGTTTCTTGAACATGACAATGAGTTCACTGTACTCAAATGGCCTCCACAGTCACCAGATCTCAATCCAATAGAGCATCTTTGGGATGTGGTGGAACGGGAGATTCGCATCATGGATGTGCAGCCGACAAATCGGCGGCAACTGTGTGATGCCATCATGTCAATATGGACCAAGCTCTCTGAGGAATGCTTCCAGCACCTTGTTGAATCTATGCCACGAAGAATTGAGGCAGTTCTGAAGGCAAAAGGGGGTCCAACCCGTTACTAGCATGGTGTACCTAATAAAGTGGCCGGTGAGTGTATAGCTACAAATAATGCTCAGAACAGCACCTAACTTAATCAACAGTACATATAGGGTCACAGCCACCAAACATCTTTTTAACTTTGCCTGATTTCTTTAGAAAAGAGACCAAAAACACATGCCTTTTCTCTTCCAGCAGCCGCTTGTTTGTACAGAGACCTTAGGCCAGTCCACTACAGACTGCTGCGGGCTGACGCAGCTCAAGGAAGAACATTTATGATAATTTCTTAAAGGATATGCAATCAGACCAAGAAGCTAAGGCAGAACAACTACCGCGTCTGCAGTTCAAAATGATTATTATGGTGATTATTACTTACTTCAAGGAATTGATAAAGAAATTATCATAAATGTTCTTCTTTGAGCTGCGTCACCCCACTGCAGTCTGTAATGGACTGGCCTGAGGTCTCGTTACAAACAAGCAGCTGCTGGAAAAGGGTGGGTGAGTTGTGTTTAGTCTCTTTGCTCAAGAAATCAGGCAAAGTTAAAAAGATATTTCATGGCTAGTACTACGGCCAGTACTATGACCCTATATGTACTGTTGATGAAGTTAGGTGCTGTTCTGAGCATTATTTGTGGCTACAGAGTGGCTTTTTGGTTGAGGTTTGTGTGTGGAGACATAGACCGCTGTGTATTGCTATTGCACGGTCGTCACTAAAGTTGGTATAACTAGAGAAGCAAGCAGTCTGCAACATTCATCTCTCGAGGAGGTGTCTATCTCGGTGTTACGGTGTGTTTGACCCTAAATTAATATTACGCCGGAATATCCCTTTAACTGGTTCTGCATACATTGATTTTTATGGTATCTTGCTCACTGTATTTTGTTGGAAAGTGAAAGCATCTGAATAGTAGTTACCATTTTTGTTTCTCTTCTCTCAGGTCCCTCCCACATGTGCAACCATGACAACTATTGTCCATGACACTGCAGAGGCAGTGTGCCTCTCCTCCGAGTACAACCTGTACCTCAAGCCTATTGCCAAGATGACTATCAGCGTTGCTTTGCCTCAGCTCAAGCTGCCAGGCAAGAGCATCTCCAACTGGGAGGTAATGGAGAGAGTGAAGGGCATGGTGGCCCCTGATCAGTTTTCTGTTCTGCGGATCTCCAAGAGCACCATGGACTTCATCCGCTTTGAGGGAGAAGTAGAAAACAAGACAGTGGTCAAGAGCCTGCTGAGCCGTTTGGATGGAAAGAGCATCAAACTCAGTGGATTTACTGACGTTCTTAAGGTAAGGCTAATGTTACTCTACAGCAGAGGTTCGAGGGTGAAACTTTGGTTAGACTTTTAAATGTCTGCATTTGTGAAATTTAGAGGTTGTCGACTGAGAGACAATGAGAATGTGTTACACAGGAGGTATTTCTTATATTTCAGCTCACAGTCGGAGTGCAAAAACACTTTTCAGTATATGAACTATCTAGTTGTATCGGAGTATATCTGTCACAGTTTACTCTGCATGTCTATAGCAGGATTGCAGTATTTGACTGCATGCAAATGTACTTTAAAAGCAAACAATACAAACAATGCACTTAATGTTGAATTAACCATCTAACTATCATGGCCCTCAGGTCCGTGCTGTCGAGAACAAGATAGACTTTCCAACACGGCATGACTGGGACTCCTTCTTCCGTGATGCCAAGGACATGAATGAGACCCTGCCAGGAGAGAGGCCTGATACCATCCATCTAGAGGGACTCCCTTGCCGCTGGTTCAGTCAGAAGGACAGCCAGTTCCCAGACCGGCCCTCTGAGGAGGTCCTCATTACTGTGTTCCAGACATTTGGAAAGGTGGTGCATGAGTCTCTTCTTCATGTTTCTCAGTGTTTTAAGGGAATTGACCTGAATACAGTCTTAACATTAAGTAATTTTTAACTGTGATGATGCACAGTTGGCTCTACAATACAAATGTTGTGTTTATCAAAATGTATAGAAAAATAAATTTTGAGCATTGATACTTTCTGTCGAATCATCAGCAAAGTGAGAAAGTGGCTGCTCTGTTTCAGTGTGACAGCTGAGTCCACAAACATCCTAGTTAGACAGAAATCACAGCAAGTCCTGTTAAAACTACCACGATATCAGTATCAAGCCAAGAAAAAAGTCTAATTTTATTTTGATTTTTTTTTTTAATACTCCCTCCTTTATTGCAGGTGCGAAATGTTGACATTCCCATGCTGGACCCGTACAGGGAAGAGATGCTGGACAAGAACTTCAGTACTTTTAGTTTTGGGGGTCATCTGAACTTTGAGGCTTATGTTCAGTACCAGGAATACTGTGGTTTCACCAAAGCAATGGACACTCTGCGTAGCATGAAGCTGATGCTAAAAGGAGACGATGGAAAGGCAGTGGCCTGCAACATCAAGGTACTACAGACTTTCTGAAACATTTCCCTTAAGATATAAACATCTGACAACATTTGAGTCAAAGTCATGGTAAAGTTGAATAAGGAGGCAGCTTTCTTGATGGGGTAAATTATGATAAACAGTTTGGTTTTTATTTGTTCACAAGCTAAATTCAGTGTCCTCACCCCACAGGCTGAGGTAATAGATATAGCTGTTAGCAGTTACGGTGCAGAAGGGAAGATTTGAGCCATATTTTTATTTCAGGCACTGGAAAAAACTAAATTAAAAGGGCGACAGTTGTTGCGACAGGCGTATTTTAGAAATTAGATATGTTGTTAAGAGTCACACAGAAGCTTTAAGACCTTTAAGTGGAACAAGGGTTAAAGCTGTGTCATCGTTAATTTCAAAGTAATGAGGGTAGGGGAGAGCCAGGTCTCTTAATCCGAAGGATAAAGCTTCACTGTGAAATCTAAATCAGGATTGAGCCAGCAAGGAAGGGTCTTCATGACATGAACTACAAACAAAAACTCTAATTCATTTCTGTCACTTCAAAAAAGTCATGGCTTTTAATCTCAATGGCTCTTGTGAAGGGATGTAAGTGATCTCCTGAATGTGAAAGGTTTTAACTGGCTTCAAAATAGCACAAGTAACAACCCTTCCTGATGGTCAGCGCTGTACTGACTGAGTCTGAATCGCACCTTTCTAATAATTTACAGACCAAATTTCAGAATATATGCTTTGAACTATGATATCAATATAAACCCTCAAAATGTTCCAGCTTTAGTTACTCTGAAGCTCCTAAAGCACGTTGATCCTTTTACTTTTAGCCTTCTGTGTTTGTGTTCCTCAGGTAACTTTTGACACCAGCAAACACCTGAGTGAGTCAGCTCTGAAGAGGAGGAACCTGGAGAGACAGAAGTTACAGGAGCTCGAGAGGCAGAGAGAGGAGCAGAAAAGACGAGAGAAGGAAGAGGAGGAGCGACGTAAGGAGGAAGAGAGGTATGCTGGAAAAGAAATGAGATTACAGCAAGTTTCTGGTAAAGTTAAAGGGTTAAACATTTAAATGCTATTTACCTTCAATCTTTGACAGGGAAATTTAGAAAATATCGGAATCAGAAAATATAGTCTCACATTGTCCAAGTTTAAATGTCACATTGATCACTTTTTTAAAAACGTTGCCATTGTCAGTGTTTTTGCCATTTTAAACAAGTTTAAAAATCAATTCTCACCTGTGTTTTGATTTAGGATTCCGATGAAGGCAGTAAAATGAACTGTACGATTAAAGGTCCTTTCACACCGGGACTGTTTTTATCGTGCGATTATTTCGGATGTCAATATTTTTTTCGAACCCATATCCTGTCAATATAATAATAATAATAATAATAATACATTTTATTTGAAGCGCCTTTCACGTCACACAAGGACACTTTACAGAACATATAAAAACAATAATAAAACACTATTAACAATTAAAATCATTAATCATCAAACAGTTAAAAATCAACAAAGCAACATTAAACATGAACAACAGCAAAGGAATAAATAAAGAAATTAATAATACCAATTGAAATTTAATTTAAAAAAGTGGGTTAGGGGTGGTGGGAGGGATAGGCCAGTTTAAACAGGTGTGTTTTGAGTTTATATAAGCGTATACATCAGCGACGTTTTCCCGTCCTGCGATATTGCAGCATTTATTTTTTCGGATCATGGTCGATTTTTCTAAAGTTTCACATACTGTATGTCCACTTCTGACAAATCAGATTACGTGTTGTTGCAACATCTGATTCACCGGTATTTCCAACATGGCCGACCGGCTGATTGTTTACGTGTCGGAGAACAGAGTGCTTTTTGATAAAAGAAACAAACATTACAAAGATAACGTCCTGAAGGACAACTTGTGGAGAGTCATAGCGTTGGATCTCTCATATGATGATCGTTTGTGTGCTTTACCAGTTTGCTAAACGTCTTTGTTTTAACTTTCATCTGTGCTAAGTAACTTTAGCTCGTAAGCTAACCTGTTCAGATACAACATACCATATGTATTTTCACTGTCTCAATCACGTTGCTGTCACAGCGGCATTAGGTCTCGGTTGTTACCTTATGTTCATGGATGATAGTTTAATGTGCTTATCTGGTACTGGCCCCGACTCAGTACATGCTATCATGACAGACAGACATCTCAACACTAGTGTCTAATCAGAACTGAAAAACAGTCAGTCTGGTGTTGTGTCAGTCTTCTCGCTTCCACCCGGGACGCGTCCTTTTCCCCCCTGGAAAGTCGCGAAATCACATCACTTGATATGTATAGTCAGGCGCGTCGAAATTCGCCTCTGAATATTTCGTAATTTCACGTCATATATTTGCGTCGGTCCCGGTGTGTAAGGACAAATAATGCTCAGAACAGCACCTAACTTCATCAACAGTACATATAGGGTCCCAGTCAAAGTACTTGCCACCAAACATCTTTTTAGCTTGCCCGATTTCTTTAGCAAAGAGACTAAACACAACTTACCCACTCTCTTCCAGCAGCTGCTTGTTTGTGGAGGAGTCCTGACGAGTCGATAAAGTTGGTAAAGTTTACTTAAGTATACTTAAGTTGGTACAACTAGAGAAGCAAGCAGTCAGCAACATTCATCTCTTGAGGGGATGTTTAACTCGGTGTTACAGTGTGTCTGACCATGACTTAAATTTATGCCGGAATATCCCTTTAAGATTAATGATTCATTTTACATTTATGATCTTGCACTGCTGCACTGGTGTGATCTGAATCCATGACTTAAAGGTAGGAGAGGGATTCAAAGGTTTTCTTCAGTGAAATGCAGTCTTTAGTATTGAAGAACAAAATGGTTTAAAATTGGAGTGCATGATTAAACTGTCAAATAGGTCAACAAGGTGTGCGGTTAAATGGTTTTGATTACTCACTGACATCTAGTCAACGCAGTAGCATTTTCACATGTAGGAGTTCAGGTTTAGTTGCTTTCAACAACTGTTACTGATCTGTACACATGAAGCGATTGTCACCCAGGACTGTAAAGCAGATGAATGACCACAACATGCCAACCTGAGGAAATCCCGTTGGTCCCAGTCTCCCACAGTGTTGATGGCTGACAGTCAGCTGACACCCAGATAGTGCTGTGAACTTCTTCAAGTTTCACCCATCCTCAGCTCCGAGCCAGTTTGCATAAAAATTGCGTTCTGTCAGCTTTTATGATGCGGTTGCGCACTAACATTGGTCTGATGGCTGCAATAATATGCTCAGCTCTTGGGTGAGAGATAAAATTCCGAATTCTTCAGTGATATTTGATTGAATTTGACACCATGTAAAAGTCATTTTTGACTCATCCACTGAGTCATCTAGAAGATTTTACCTCTGAGTGAAATGTGACGTTTAATCGCACAGTGGTGTCTTTGTGTCCATCATGGCCACAGCAGAAAGACGCTGTAGTCGTTTGACTAAAGTGTGCAGGAAGGTAAACAAATTTGGACAAAATAAACAGGCTGCTGTGTTCATTTGTGGCCCTAAACACATCCCATCACTCTGGGGCGTTTATGCTGACAAACCTGGTAACAACCTAACATGCATGGTTGCCCTCACCCCCAATTTCCATCGAATCCGGAATGGCAGCAAAATTGCCGTATGCACCGATCGCAGCTGGTCATTTCCATTCAAGTTAACGTGTCAATTTCCATCAGCCTCCCCCCCAAGCCCTGTGCATTTTAGCGGGTTTCGTAGCCGATTGCCAGGGTTCTATTTTATCCCAGATTATCCCGTGCAGGAAAGGAAGCCGGGCACAGACACAAAATAAAAGATCCTGTTTCTTTTCAAAATAAAACACAAAGTGTTTCAGGGGGATCGTATTTCACACCATGCAAGCGTGGTGGGGACGAACAAGTCAAAGGTTTCAGATGTCATTTCTCCCCATTGACACCCTGGATGAGGAGATGCTGATTCTGGAAGTCTAAAAGTGGATTTCCTCCCCTGGAAGGACACAATCTACTGCTTATATGGTTATATGGCTGTCTTTATAGAGACAACTCGTTATCGCGCGATTGCATGTGAATCCGCAGGTACTTGTGAGTTCTCGCGATTCTCACTGTCCCAAATCCGCCACAAAATTTGCCTCACGAAAGCATCCTGTAGGAATTGGCGGGTGGCGCTGTTCCGCGGTGGAACCATTCCGATTGTGCTGGAAATTGAGGGTCAGTTACCACTCTGTGTTAGGGACAATTACAACTCATCGCTACACAGCTCTGCTTTATACCAGAAAGTTACTTGTATGATGTCAAATAGTCACCAAAGACATGTTGACTATTCCTTAGGAAACAAAAAGAGCAAGAAGAGGAGGAGAAAGAGAGGAGGAAGGAAGAGAAGATTCGAAAGCGAGAGCAGAAGCTGCGGGAGAAGGAGCAAAGGAAAAACTTGAAGAGGGTGAGGCGGCAGCAGGAAGAGGAGCAAAAAAAGCTGCAGATGAAGATCGCTATGGAGGAGAGGAGGCTGCTCTTGGCTCAGCGCAACCTCGAATCGATCCGGCTCGTTGCTGAGCTGCTGGCCAGGGCAAAGGTACAGTGTGCACAGACTTACATCGCACAAACACAAGCCCAGTGGGTGATGATGATGGGTCTTTGGCTTTTGTAATTGGGCTTATCCAGACTTCTTTAATAGATTTTTTTCTGTCTTTCCTCTTTTTCTGCAGATTCTGAAGGAGCAGCAGCAGGAGAAAGAGAGGGCTGAACGAGAAGAGCTTGAGAGGCAGGAGCAGGCTCGGCAGAAAGAAGAACTAGCCCGTCTTCAGCAGCTGGAGGCCTGCAGACGCAAACAGGAAGAGGAGCTCAGGAGAGTGGAGGTGGAGAAGGAGCGAGCACTGGAGCTCCAGCACAGAGAGAAGGAGCTAAGAGAACGACTGCTCTGTAACCTGTTAAAGAAGAGCAGCGAAAAAACCACAAGACCTCCTGGCACGCTGGACGGCCCTGAGAACAGTGAGGAGGCCTCTGATGCAGGAGGTAATGAGGTGATGTTGGGTGTTCTGGGACTGGTTAATGGACTAAAGGCAGATGAGAATAAAGAGAAGCGGGCACCTAAAGCTAGAGCACACTCCCAAGATTTGGGGAGGAACAGAGCCACGGAGGAGAGGAAAGGAGGAGAGGACAGGAAGAAAGACCGGGAAAGAAGAAGGGAAGAGTTGGTGAGGGGCAGGAGCAGCAGGGAGCAAGCGAGAGACCGAGACCACTACCACACCGAGAGCAGCTCCTACAGCCGGGGGAGGAGGCACTCTGGTAGCTACAGCAGGAGGAGAAGGAGCTCCAGTCACCATAGGAGGAGCTCCAGCCACCACAGGAGGAGCTCCAGTTACCACAGCAGCAGGAGGCGCAGCCGCAGCCATCACTGTAGGAGCACAAGCTCCAGCTGGGACAGGAGCAGGAGCAGCAGTGGGAGGAGCTGTAGCAGGGGGAGGAGTCACGGGCAGAGTCACCGCAGGTACAGCAGAGGCAGCTCTAAAGGGAGTAATAAAAGCAGGGAGAGAGAGAGGAGCAGTCACAGTCACTACAGTAGGAGATACAGGAGACACAGCAACTGCAGAGACAGGAGCCATTCAAGGCGACGCTGATTTCATCAATATTATCCCTTCAGTTTAGTTTACGCTTTAGGTCTAGTTAGTTTGACACAGATCCATATTTTTGGAAGCCTGAAGTCAGTAATGTGACATGACAATGCAGGAATAAGACAGCAGGTATCATCTTTATACAGATTTTAAAATCAAAGCAATACACACAAGAGTTTCCTCTGTATTTTTAAGGCATGCAGAATACAGCATTTGGTTCTGGAGAGTTGCTCTAACTTAAAAAAAATTTTAGATGTCATTGTATTGGATTGAAGCTGCAGCAGCTATCATATTAAGATATTCAGTAACTCTTCTGTACAAAAATCTTATCATGTTTGGTTTTCAGGAAAATATTCTTTACCTCCTGTTCAAAGCAAAATCTGAACATTTGGGAGGGAGGTACACTAAAACTCTGAGTGTTAGAATAACAGAGACTAGTGTCGTCAAGCTTTGTTTTACTCTCAGTCAAGGACAAAAGCTTGAATTGAAGGCCCACTGTATCCAGTCTAACTCTCTTGTGAACTCGCCTGTTGGTGACGCTCATTTTTTAATAGCTAGTTGTCTTTGTGCATGAATAAAGTGGGGTGTTTTTGTCAAGTTTTACACAGAACAATTGGCCTTTGTTGTTTTGATGATCCACCAGCGTCATCCACACTTGTAGCCTCACAATAAGAAAACAAACACTGCACCTGTCAACAGCAGATATCTCGTCAGCATGGAGTTCAAAGCACTTTTAGCTGTAATTGTTGTAAGTGACTAAAGTGGACTGTTTGACTTAAATGAATGGCTGCTGTTCCATAACAATGTGAAGTTTCCACAGACGACAAGCCTTTTTTGTTTGTGCTCACCTTAAGACAAACTGATTTCATTTTGTGTTTGATTCACTTTTGTAAGTTTCACTGTGTCTTCTGTGACTACCAAGCAGCAGCATTTCCAAGGATCCCTCACTTTCAGCCCATAACGACAGATTTTTTTAGAGCTTGGCTTTTGTTTGATCACACAGATTTATTTCAGTTCGTGAGGTGAGTAGAAGACTTGATGTTCAGAGTCCAAATTGTTCATGACACATTAACTTTACAGCTGTGATGCACGTCCCCTTTCAGCTTTGGGGAAGTCAGTGGAGTTTGTTGACATAAACACATTTCTGATGTTTTTCTTTTCATGGCAAAGTCTCATTCGCAGTATTCTTTGCTCATGTTAGAGCATGTTATGCTTTTGGGATTAAAATAAAAGTTCAGGCTGAAACATGTGAAGAGTGTCTTTTCCTTCATGTTAAAGATATACCATGTCATCTTATCACCAGAGTAATAAGCCTCAATATTAAAGAGCAGGTGCCCAGTGTGCAGAGACTACAGTCTTTAGTAACGACCACATGATAGCAATACACAGCGGTCTATGTTGCCACTAGCAAACCTCAACCAAAAAACCCCTGTAGCCACAAATAATGCTCAGAACAGCATCTAATTTCATTAACAGTACATATACGGTCCCAGCCATAGTAGTAGCCATCAAACATCTTTTTAACTTTGCCTGGTGTCTTTAGCAAAGAGACCAAACACAACTCACCCACTCTCCTCCAGCAGCAGCTTGTTTGTGGGGGAGCCCTGACGAGTCGATCACTGAGTGCAGCAGAGTTTCGCAGCTCAAGGAAGAACATTTATGATTATTACTTCATGAAAATTCAATCAGAGTTCTTGTGTATCTTTTACGTCAGTTTATAACTCCTATTATCTAGTGCTGACCGGGAAATGAGCGCAGATGAGCATAACATTTTTAACTTCCTCTCTTCTCCCTGTCTCTGCTGTCTCCTCACTCTTCATGAGATAAACAATCCCGTTTGATTTCACATGAAATCTCTTTTGTTTACGTGATTTTTTCCCTGCAAATAAGTAAAGTTAAAAATGCTCATCTGAGCTCATTTCTCGGCCAGCACTCGACCTGTCAATAAAATTAACACCAGCTGATATGATGTGTCACACCTACCACCAAGTGACACTTCTGAAGAAGGCTGAGGGTTTTCTGCTGAAACATGTTAAGGAACGTGAAAAAGATTACATGTCTGAGATAAAGGGAAAAAAAGAAAACTATTTCTTTATATAAATCTTGTTAATCATTGTTTCAAAAGCTTTCTTAAGAGACATCTGCATAATATGGCAATGAAAAGTTGTTATCCTCAGGCAGTGCAAATATCCCTATCGTGGGATGAATAGAGGCTTATCTTTTGTAGGATCAAGGTGAAAATCCCTCCTACTCCAGCTGTCACACCTGTATCCTGTCCATACACAGCTGTCCCACTGACTGTGTGGATGAATAATTGATAATAAACCTGACCTGTGTAATCACATCTAGGCTTGTGACGTGACGGTCTGTGTCATCAGGTCTGATGCTACCATTAGTCTCTCAGCGTGAGTCCAATCAGACCATATGGACAGGAGAATTGAAGCACATCTTTCATGAAACACACTCTCCTTTAGAAGTTTGCTATTCCTGAAGTGTCAGTCATGTTGAGGGGTCATGGAAACTGTGGACAAAGCAGTTCTGGTATGAGAATAAACCGAGTGAATGTCTCCATCCGAGTGTGAGTGATGTTGAACAAGGCAGCAGTGTGTTGCCACAAAGTTGTTTCTTTGTCCAATTCAGACTGAGCCCCTGCTCTAATCTGGGTTATCTGGCTGTAATCAGCTTAGCCCACTGCCAGTCTCACAGTCCCACTGCTGCTACAACTGCTGCTGCTGCTGGGTGGGCACTTTGTGTAGCTTTACTCTGCTTCTGTCATTCATACGCACACCTGTTGAAGTGTCTCCAGAGCTGAAGAGTGTGACAAAAAAATACCACTTTGCATGCCAAAGAGTTTTCTTGGAGTCCTGTACAAACTGTGGAAATGGCTGAGAGTCCAGAAAAGAGTCAATCTGAGGGGACACCTGCTGCAGACATGTACCCCAGAAAGATCCTGGAGTACATGGAGGGATTCCTCATCTCAAAGGTAAGGTACAGATAAAGTGTACTCACACCTCTATGTGTGCACCACATTAAGGGTGCAGGACATCTTGAGTCTGTTTAAAGTGACAGGTTGAATAACACTTTCCTGTCTCCAGCTTCAGTGTCAACTAAGCTAATAGCATTCCTGATAGTTCATTATGTAACAGCATCAGACCTGCTAAACCACAAGGGAAGCGTATCTTCGGAGCTAAAACTTTTAGCTGATCAACCAGTGGAACGATCAAAATAAGACTTGACCATTTTTTGTCAACAGCTTAAAAAAACCCAGAATACAATTAGACTTGATATTTTATTGTTATACATTAAAAAATTTGTATGGATAAAAGTGATGGGGAATGTGGCAGTTTTTTGTTGCCTTCTCACCTCCTGCAGGACAGTTCACCACAGAATAGTATTATTACTTATTATTTTGTTTGAAACATAAGTAGATGACAGTCGTCTTTAAAGCTCCAGTGTGGAACTTTCGGTTTGTGTCAGCTTTGGCGCCCCCTGTGGACGAACAGTCCTGCTTATTTTTTTCTCTAAAAGTTGAAGTAATATCTGTAAAAAAAATACCTCACTTGCTGACATTGAATAAAATGACATTGAAATTGAATAAAACTGCTTTTTCGTCAGCTGCTCAGCTGTTCACTGTTGAGATCAACAATGAAAATGTTTCTTAATTTATTTAATGTGCAAATTTACATTCTATGTGTGTGTCCAAGACGGTCTTCACCTCCTGTGAGCTCGGTGTGTTTGATGTGTTGCTGGATGCAGAGCACCCCCTGTCTGCAGAAAAGATCAGTGTGGCAGTATGCGCCAGTCTGGATGGCACACAGAGACTGCTGGATGCCTGCACTGGTTTGCAGCTCCTTAACAGGCACACAGATAACGGAGAAGGTCAGAACACCTTGTACAAAAGTCATACACTAATGACTTATCTCTCTGGATGCTTTTATGAGGAAATCCGAGAGGCGTCATTAATTATTCCCTTTAATTAAAGTGTTTGCAGGTCTTACTGTATATCAGAAAAAAAACAATCACAGCATTTTCATTGTTTTGTCTTTTAGTTACATAAATGTTGTATTTAAAATATCTAAATTCTAGTTGTTTTTTTTTAACATCCCTTATATGAGTTTATATTTATTAGTTTGTTAATACATGTGCACCTCTCTCCAGATGTTCTTTGTCTGTAAACCTGCAGTGATCCATCTCCTCCCTGTCATCTTCCTCTCCTCCTGTTTCAGTCTTGTACAGTAACACAGAGCAGGCAAGCATATACTTGACCCGCTCCAGTCCTTTGTCTCTCTACCAGTCCATCCAGTACAGCTCCAGAACAATCTACCTGTGCTGGCACTACCTCACCGACGCCATCAGGTCAGTACACTGAGCCAAAGCCACATTCATGTTATGTCATTTAGAGCTTGTCATCACTCCTGCAAACTTAAACAATTTGGTTATATGTATCCTAAACATTTATAAAAAGTGAGAACTACAGGTCTAAAGTTAAGAGTTCTTGCTCCCAAAAATTGATCGAAAACATTCGGTACAGCATATCTTCACAACCTCAAGTTGAACCATTGACTGTATAAAACAGTGACACAGTCTTAGTGATGTCACCCATTGGTTTCTGAAGTTGATTTGAAGCCTATCGTTGTTGGTCACCATATTGGAGACTCAACCTAACTTTTGGTCAAACTAGCAAGGGGCAGCGAGGTAAGTTGAGGCAGGCCTTTAGCCTTCTCACTAACAGCTACAGTGTGCCTGCCTGTCAATCACTTGATTTATCCTCCTAATAACACAAAACTCTTAACCGCAAATCTTCATCATTAATGAGTGATGTAAAGATGTACTTTCTTTGAATTGGTGTGTATGTGGTATCTGGTGCTTTTGGAGTCAACACCGAGTGGGCATTCATGGAATTGCAGTTATTACCACTTCATGTATTGGCTTTATTTTTCAAGAATAGAGGTTTCCTCTTGGTTGGCTATTTTTTCCTCATGTTTTTTTAGAAAACAGGATAACTAACAATTGAAGCTCTTGTGAGGAGTTTTTAGCTGATGTAAGACTGCAAGGTCCTCACGGGAGCTTGAACTGACACTGATATTTGATAACCTCTGAATCTTATGTGTAAGTTGACTAACTGGTTCATGGCTTATTGATGAAAGATGATCATAACCTTGTTTGTTACAAAAATAATTGAACAGGCCTGCCATAGAAAAAGCAAAGGTGGGGTTTTAATCTGATCGAATAACGAGTAAAATTGAGGGCAGGCTGGTGGTGTCTTTTGCGGGCTGAGGATTTGGATTCAGCTCCTCCTTGTCTGTTTGAACAGTGTCTCAAGATGGATCTCAATCTCATTGTTATGTCGGAGGGAGGACAGCCTGCAGCTGTCAGGCAGTGTGAGTGGATTCACTGTGTTCACTGTAGAAACACTGATAGGAGAAAGGGCTAAAAATAAATTCTCGTTAGGGGAGTGTTCAACAAAAACAAGCCAAATCTGTGGCACAAAAGACAGAATATTGATGTTACTTTCATATGACAAACTCTCCTTCATTTGTTTGTTTCAATCACTTTGACAGTGAGAATAAAATGGAGCTTAAGCAGATTTAAAAAAAAAACCTGGATTTCACATATTCAAAACTAATTTGATCAATGAAAAGTTGTGTAGTGTTTCACACATATAACCCATATAATGTGGTTCTAATGTTTTTTTCTAGAGAGGGGAGAAACCAGTATGAAAAGGCCTTTGGAGTCACTTCAGAAGATCTCTTTCAAGCTCTCTACAGGTAAGAAGCTGTCTTTGTTTGAAACACACACAAACACGCACACGCCTGTGCACACACACACACATACAGACAGACCAAACACACGCCCTTGCTTATCTACATTCTGTCCCTGTCTCCCCATCAAAAGTCTGTCTGTCACTTTCTTCCCTTTCCCCCCTGAAAACACAGACTTGTGGGATTTGTTGGGAAGCAGGGGATGTCTGAGGGTGAGAGGAGAGGGAGAGTGTGGGCAGTGATGTGAGGAAGCTTTGGGCGAGAGAGGAGGAGAAAAGGGGAGCGAATACATCGGCTGCTGTCCTTGAGGTCTTGTGTGTTTATAGTATCTAGTGCCCACAGTTTTAATGCTTCAACAATCTGCTGGTCAGCGCTTTTTCTGGGGTCACACGCTAAAAGTTTCACACTTTGCTGCTAATAGGTTTTGATCGGCAGGCCCAAGGCTTTTTATTGTAGACAACAGCAAGTCTCAAAGGAACAGAAACCATCAAGACTGACACACAGAGGAATAACGTGCTAAAACACCCTTTCTCCTTGTCCTCATCAGACCATGATTTCCTGAACCAGTGTACTGTGATGGAGCGGTGTGTGATGTGCTAATGAAACAGATGTGAAAATGCAAAACATGCAAGTGCAGCGTTCTCGAGACAGATTTAAGACTTAGCTTTTTTCAGCGTTATTCTCCTGAATACACTAAATTTCATTGTTAAAATGCTCAAATAATGAACTTTTGAAACGGGAGAAACCTGAATTTCTTTTGTTTGTTTTTATTTGTATCCTACTGCTGCAGCTCAGTAGGGTTGTTTTATGAAATGGGACTCAGCTATTTTTGTTATTTTGAACAGCAGCTGAATACCTTTCAGAAAATTAACTCATTATCAAGAATTGTTTTGCTATAAGAATATTCATGCACCAAGGGCCCATCTGCACAGTAATTTACAATTCTGCTTTAATTGATTGAAAAAGAAAAGAATTCCATCACCTGCACACAATTGAGTGAATGCAGAGGAGCAGTTGTTTGTCCCTGTTGATTTCCCTTGTGAATACTGAGGGTAAATTAGCAACAGGGAACAACCACTGAAGTCAGTCACTATGTTCAGCCAGCGTTGTAGGAGAAGCAGGGTGGATGAGTCAGACTCCTGTTTACTCACTGCCATTTAACCAGCCTTGTAGTGCACCTGAATAATTCACAGCCCAGTTCTGTCTGCAGTTGTAATTGTGCTATTCAAGAAAAGCTGGAAGGATTTGGAGAGGATGGGAAATTAGATTTAGAAATACACACAAAGAGGTCTGAATCCCACAGATGGGCACTTTTTATTTGATCTAATTCAATGTAATGAGTCTTATGGTTTTAACCTTCACAGATTTACTCATGTTCTTCCCAAGACATGCTTCTGTATCTCACACATTGGGAAGTGCAACATCCATGTATATCTAAAGGTAAATGGAGTAAAATGGTGCATTTCCATGAAAACAACATCTGATCATGGAGTAAATACATCCCAAAATACATAAAACTCATGCTGAATTTTAAAAAAAGCATTGTGAACAAAAACTTGAAGTTACTCCCAACTGTTCGGCCTGTAACGGCCTTGCTTCCAAACTTTTGGCCTGTAGTGTACATATGTTTACTCATTTTTTGCTGTACAATGAGAATGTGAACATATACCTCTTTGTGTTAAGTTTAGAGACCATACATGGTTCATTAACCTCCACACTACCATAAAAATTATGTTGAAATTTTGCTATACAGTGTATGAATATGTTTTGTATATATAGATAAACATATTTTTATAGATTATATGTTTTGTAGTATGCATATGTATAAAATATTGCATTGATAGCAGAATTATTTTTTTATAAAGCCCTTGAGGAACAGTAATAAGGATTAGGAATTCAAAAAGTATTTACTTCTTCCTATTCCTTCCTTCATTTCTTTTTTTCTTTGTATGTAAATGGCAATTTTCTATTTGTTTTATTTCTTCGCATACATTCATTCACTATGTTACACTCAAAATGTGAATCTTGATGAAATGTGGTTTTATCTGTTATAGTGACAAAAATGTGGTACTTCATTTGTTTTTGACAGTGAAAGTGGATCAAACTGAAACTTTGAAAAGTACCTCTGTCGCTTGTCCTGTTAAAGTCTCGAAAAAGACTCTTCGGTAAAGCCACAGAAACAGCTCCACTTACCAAGGTTAAATGAATATTAAGTCTGGAATGAGGTCATCTCACAGTGGTAACACATTCATAATTACACTGGTGATTGATGTGATCATCTCCATTTGACCACACTTCAAATGATACCCCTCAGTCTTCCATTATTGCCGATTACTGATGAGGCTGAAGCAACAAGACAACAGTGATCAGGCAGCCAGGAAGCATAGCTGTGACAGTGGGCACAGACATGACAGAGACCTGCAGGCACGTTGAAGGATACAAGACATGTCTATGCTGAGAGCAAAGGGATCATAAGCGTGCTGATTTTGTAATGATGTAAACAGCCAGAGATAACCACGCAAAGCACTCTGTCCTCAATACGGTGAGAGACAGAATGAGATAGCGTGCGTGTAAATGTCTTTAATCAGGAATAAAAAGGGCTGCAGATTTTGTCGTTTGGGGGCATTCAATAACTCCGAAAATGTTTCCAAATTAAAGCTGACAGTCTGCTGTTTGGCCTCACAGTCATTTCATCTTTTCACATCCAATGTAATCAGAGTCTGAGGCCGCAACAATGAGTCACTTTCAAAGTTGTACTGGAGGTCAGCATGTCGGCCAAACTTGTATCAGATGACTGATCTCTGTGATACAGAGGAGCTGGGGTGAAAAAAAAATCTAGTTTCAGAAGAGAAGATACTCAGTGTGTGTGTTTGTGTGTGCGTGTGTGGCCCCACAGCACAGCAGAGTGCTGGGTGATGAGATGGAGATTCCTCGGAGCAGCAGCGGTCACCACAGGCCTTTCTATTCTGCTGCACCCTGTCTCTCTCTCTCTCTCACAGCCACACTGTGTCGCCACGGGGAGTGACTTTGGAGACGAGGGGAGTGTGTGTCTGTGTGTGGTTGTGTGGTGTGTTTTTCTGTTTATTGTCCACATTGAGCAAGCAGTCCCTTAGGTGACAGCTTGATAAAGATGTAAAGTTTTCTTTTGAGTTTTGAGAGCTTTGCTGTGTGTGTGTATGTGTGTGTTTCTCTGTGTGTAGGTCTGACGAGGAGATGGTGAAGTTTATGCAGCTAATGAACTCCATTTGGAACATCTGTGGTAAAGATGTGGTCACGGCCTTCGACCTTTCGCCTCTCAAGATCATCTGTGACCTTGGAGGTAGGTGTGTGCGCATGAGAGTGCATGTGTGTGTCTTCATCAAAACACTATGTAATTTCCATAAGGTTGCGAGTTCACAGTCATTAACATTTAAAACTGTTGGTGTCATGCGTTAGCTGAGGAGACAGCTGGCCCAGACACACACATATACACACACATATATTTACACAGTAAAATGTGCATGACACACAGTCAACAGTGACCTTTACTCCACTCTCCCTTAATGATGCTGTATGAATCAGTCAAGCCTCCCCAAACACACTCGTTAAAGTTAGTTTTCTCCTCTTCTCAGAGTCTTCTTCCATTTGGCCAGATTCTTAAAATTCATGTGTAACTGACTGAGAAATACTCTTTTTTTCCCTTCAGAGTTGAATAAATTAATCAAATAACAAACACACCATTCAGACGAAGACATGAGGCCCACTTATTATTCAGTCTTCAATTGGAAATACTGAGCCAAAGCCTGATGTGAGTGTGGCTCTCCTGCTACTGTTAAGCTGACCGAACTACAGTAAGGTTTCTAGGTTTGGTTGGTCAAAAAACACTCAGACATGTTATCCTTGTGATAAAATTTTCAACCAGTATTATTAATTTTTGAAGCTGAAAAATAATGTTAATAAAACATGTGTTGCATGTGCTTTTCTGCATCAAAACTAGATACTCATGTGCAGAGAAGAAGAAGCAACAGAGCAGAAGTATGAGCTACTGAGCAAAAAATGTACAGCACACTTCATGATATCCATTAAGAGGGGCTAAGACATTTGGTCTGCCTGTTTTTCCTGATCTTTATCCCCACTTGTGGATTGTTATCCAAGAAAACACACAAAATGAATTGAATAATACAGACTGGTTTCACAGGCTAATAGCCAAAACTGAAATGAGAGCGCGTTTCTCGAGAAGAGAAGGCGAGAAAAAGCATCTCTGGCAGTTCTTCAAAATGGAAAGATGATACTTGAGTGTGATACCACAGCAGACCACAGTGGGGAGCTGTGAAGCCACTGAAATTACAGACTGAAACACACACACACACACACACACACACACACACTCAGGTGTAGACACAGACACACATCTTCGCCAGTCTCCCTGTCTGTTCTCTCCTCTCCTCCGTGACTTTCCTGGCCACGGGGTTGTGTGTTCATGTTTATGCATTAAGGTGCATCACCAAAAGGAGCGTGGACAGCAGGAGTGTGAAAGGGAGTGACTGCAGTGTCCCAGTAAGACGCTCTCAGCATCTGTTGTGTCTGCACACACCTGCTGCTTCGGTGATCCCACTGTCTGTCTCTCTGTCAGTCTCTCTGTCTGTCTTACTGTCTCTTTGTGAAACTTTCTGCAAACAAAGCTGACTAAAGGAGGTGGTTTGTTTCTCCGGGCGCTCTGCTACAAGCTTACCACCTCACCTCGTTGTATTTTAATGTGACATTTAACACACACTGTGATGATATGTTTTGTTTAAAAGTAAATAATCAACTTAAAGGTTACAGAGGAAAATTTATTCATGGTTTTGAGGCATAATGTAATTTTATGCCTCATGCTGCAGGTGCACATGTAACAAAGCCAGCTGTGGACAAAAGTATGTGCGTCATGTACAAGAAAAATACAAAATAAAAGAAATACATCCTCTCTCAAGAAACTTATCAAGCCATTTCTGCTGGCTGTCTTATTTTCAGCCTGCAGTTTCCTGGAATAAGATGATATCAGGGCTTGTTTGATCAGTGTTGTTTCTATTAGAAATTCTGACTCATGGTGAGACACATACACTCTGTGCGATGTGAGTTTCTGCAGCGTAGGTTCTCCTTCCAATGGTGCATCTTGATACAATCTTTTATTAGACCCTCCCTGCGGTAAATGTCCATCTTTTTCAGACTCATCACCCAAGTTTACCCCTGACAAAGCTCCAAAAAATGAAACTTGGAGCTGTTCACAGGCTGATGAATACTGCATTTTACGAAAAATAAACTTAATGGGTAAAATCAGCGAAGTTCCCACTCAGCAGTTCTTAAACACAGCTGGATTTAGATGCAAGACTAGTCATCTAAAGTTCAGTTGTCGAAATGCTATTGGTGAAAGGCCTAAACAGCCCAAAACAGCCAGTGTAAAAAATGTATTCAAGCTAAATATAATATGTTATGAAGGGAAAAAGTCATTTATTGACATACTTACTACAGTGGTATTAAATAAAAAGTCAACTGCAGAATGAAGAAATAAATGCTGCACATCAGATGCACCTGCAGGTAATTTCAGAAGACTAAAAAAGTGTATGATAACAACATAGAATAAATATAGCACAGTGTGGCAGACCCAAACACCCATCAAAGGATTTCATTAAGAAACCCAGGCAGCAGGGTGAGCTTGGGGTCTTCGACAGCGTATTGTGTTTGGTTTTGCTCCTCCTTGCTGTTCTTTGATTCCTCTCCTCTGCCGACCCCTGTTTGATGTGAGAGCCAGAGTACCTGTGTGTGTGTGTGTGTGTGTGTGTGTGTATGAGTGTGTGTGTGTTTGTGTAAAAAAAGGAAGCCTTTTTAAGAATACTGACTGAAACAGAAGCAGTAGGTCATGTTAGGAGGAGGGCACCGCTGGGCCTCACAGTTTTCCCTGTAAACACAAACGCACACAGTCACACACACACACACACACACACACCTTGGGCTAGTTGGCTTTGTGGGTTTGTCAAAGTGAGATCCTTTGATCCCGTCTTCCACCTCACAGCCTTTCTATTTAAATTCATATTGCTTTACAAAGCGCAATAATACTGCTGCTGAAGCATCATGTTGAAATGTCTGTGCTGAGTCTTTGTTCTCACCTCTGTTTGGATGGTTGTGTTTTGTGAGTTGATTCAGTTTTTACCTTCTGAAATCATCCCGTTTGGCTGTTCTTCTATGTGGATAGTAGGTAGATCTCAACAAATAACTACTTCAGCTCAAACAGGTCCAGCACATGCAGTGGCTCAGCTATCATTGACTTACTGGCTGACGTAGATGCTATTCTCATGCTCGCAGACCATCTGTGTGCCCATGGGCGTATTGGTCTTCAAATCAATCAATCAATCATCTCTAATTTATACAATCCCAAATCACAACAAAAGTCATCTCAGGACACTCAAAAATAGAGCAGGTCTAGACAGGCCTCTGTTATATTATTTAGAGAGACTCAACATTAATCCACAATGAGGAAGCACTTGGCAAAAGTGGCGAGGGAAAATTGACTTTCAACAGGCAGAAACCTGAATCAGAACTGGGCTCATTGGTGCACAGTCATCTGCTGGGACTGGATGGGATGGAAAAAAGAGTGAAAGAGTGGGATAAAGAGGGAAGAAAAAGGAACGACACAGGCCAAGACAGACAAACGGATCTACAAATCTCGATAGAAACAACAGCAAACACTTTTAACGTGTCCTTTACTAGCAAAATAATGCTGAAGTTAATTGTGGCGTGATAACTGTGGTCAAGCAGATCCACAGCAGCTGACAGCCCAAGATGACAGTTCACAGAAACCTAAAAACAAGAGAGGATTAAAGACCCTTGAACGGTAATGAGTCAGTGCACAACAGAAACATGACTTACAAATAAAGAGGGAGAGGGGAGACAAGAGCTCAGTGTGTTAAGTCCATAGACTCTATATACTATGGACAACTTGTTTCTGCCTCCTTGTGCGCATTCAGCGGGAGAGTTGCAGAGAGTCGCTGTGATGACGCTCGGCTCAAACTGCGTATCCCCCAGGTGAGCTACGCAATCCCTGAACGCCAATAGGCTGTATCAGGTGTCAATCAAAGAAAACATGAACCCCCTTATAAGTTTTAAAAATGGAGCTGCACAGAAAAAAAGAGGATTTGAGCACAAACCAGTCTTACAATAACTTCATGTCAACACCGCAAGCAGGGAGGGAGAAAAATTTATGTTCTGTGTAATTAACATCTAAAGTTTGTCCACAGCCCCATAGGCTTTGCTGGCGGAGGCGGGATTTATGACCTATACTGCAGCCCGTCACCAGAGGGGGCTGTTTTCGGAGTGGCTTCACCCAGCAAGGAGGCAGACTCTGTCCATTCAATATACAGTCTATAGTTAAGTCCCATGACCAAAAATAGGGGCTGATTCAGGTTCGAGTTTGATTCAGCACCAACTCTTTAAAGTTTGTGGTATACTCTAAAAAACATGCATGGCTGCATCAGGTACATTTAAACAGCAAAGCTCACCTCCTTTTAAAAACTTTAAAATCAAAGTGTGGCCTTAAGTACTGTTTGTGTATTGCTATGATATAGCATTGTATTGCTATTGAAACAGTATTTAGATTGTAGGCTGGTTCACAAAACATAAACTGCTTGTTATACATACAAGGAGCTGCAGTAGCTCAGGAGGTTGAGTAGTTGTCCAACAACTGGAAGATTGGTGGTTTGATTCCCCTCTTTCCATTGTATCCTTGGGCAAGACACTTAACCCACCTTGTTCCCAGGCTCGAGGCACAGACTGGCAGGCATGTTTCCGTCAGTCTGCCCCAGGGCACCTGTGACTACTGTGGTAGTTTACCACCACCAGGGTGTGAGTGAATGAATGATGTATTCAGTGTAAAGTGCTTCGATGGTCTCTGATAAAGCGCTATATAAAAATCTGATGTCGTATTAAGGATGAGCAACAACACTCCTTCTCCTCTGTTAATAGTCTTTGGGTTTGGAGATGCTGACAGCGGATTGGACGGCTGCCAGCTTTTGCCAATTAAATACCAACGTGCCAGCTATACATGCAAATATTTTTCAGAGAGAACAGTAATCCATCAATCTATCCCCCCACTCTCTCCATCTTCTGCAGGATTAGTTTACAATGGCATCAGGAAAGCTAATCTAGACGTCCCCTCCCCAGGAGCACAACTCTTCTTGGGGGAACTGACAGTGTTCCCGAGCCAGATAGGCTGTATGATCCCCCACTGAGTTAGGGGTCTATCTTGGGGTCTCCTCCCAGGTAGATGCTTGCTGAAAACCTCCAAAGAAAAGCACCCAGATGGCATCCTTATCAGACGCCTAAAACCACCTCAGCCAGCTCCTTTTGATGAAAAGAAGCCACCGCTCCACTTGGAGCTCCCGCTGAAATTCTGATCTCCTTACCCTGTCTCTGCAGCTTGGTTTAGCCACCCTGTGGAGGAAAGTCTTTCTAGTGTGTTATATCTAAAATCTCATTCTTTGTATCACCACCCAAAACTCTTGACCAAAACTGATTAGTTGAATTCATTGGATGGCTAAAGTATACATGTAAATGAATTTAGAACTGAACCATTTTGTGATTGTGCATTACTTTCTTCCCAGAATAGAGGAATTAGATTCTCTTAAATGGAGATGGAGTACACCTGTGTCATCTATTTTAGATAGATCTAACACGCAGGGCCCTAGGAATCCTCAGAAATGCATCTGTATCAGGATTTTGCTGCAATCAAACCTTCAGTTGCTGAGATTACAAAAAAAAAAAAAAACAACAACAACAACTTTAAGGGTCATAGAGAAAACAGGCATCTCTAGATATGGCTGTATTAATTCCCTAAAAAAACATACATGCCAATTTTCATGACAGCTTCAAAGGACATTAAAATTTTCATTTCCAAATAAAAGTCAAATCAATTCTGTCCAGATGACAATGACGGGGTAAGTGCATGATTGTGTTTGCTTTCAGTAGGAATGTTTCTCTCTAAATATTCTGTCACTCAGTCATTTTGAATTCAGCTCAATTCAGTCTCCTTTATTTGCATGAATGTTAGATGAACCATGTTCCCAAAGCTGCCACATACAAATCATGCAAATAAATAATGGGTACATACCTGAGAGCATCTGTTCCACTCGTGTGGCTCTGTGCTGTGTGTGTGTGTGTGTGTGTGTGTGTGTGTGTGTCTGTATGCATGCCCAGTTTGTTTGTGTCTGATGCACTACCTTAATGAAGGTTGAGTGTATTCATTGTGCTGTAACTAAATGTAATCATCCCTCTCTCAATCGCTCCCTCCCTCTCTCCCTCCTTCCTCCCTCTCTCTCCCTAGGCTGCAGTGGAGCATTAGCCAAGCAGTGCACGTCAGCCTACCCAGAATGCAGTGTGACGATCTTTGACCTCCCCAAGGTGGTGCGCACATCGAGGGAACACTTTGTCACAGAGGCCGACCAGAGGATTAGCTTCCACCAAGGTAACGTCATCATGACAGGGTGAAATCATTTGACATCATTTACAGCCAGTTTCAGAGCACTATTGTACACGCACACACTTACACACTCTCACGGGCAAAAATAGAGGAAGTCTTAGAAGAAGTTTCTCAAGGCTTAAGTCCTGGTGAGCAAATCTTGGGTTGAATCGATTTGGATTGATCTTAATGAAACCCTCACTTCTCGACAGTGGAATAAACATGCAGTCAGTATCTGGGCGCTTAATCACAGCCTTCACATTCACACCTGCTATTAATAAACTGCCTTTAGATTTGCACGCTGCCTGCATCATGATATTGTGTATATTTGCTGGGCAAGAGAGGGATCATCTGCTTATCAGAGCAGGAAAAAGCTGTTATATGCAACCTCTGAACTTACACTGTGCCTGAAGGTGTAATAACACAAATCATGATCTGCCACATTCAGTATCTCTTGGCCGCCAGTGAAATGCAGCATTAGGAATTAATAGATTTAATTTAAAACGGTCTGTCCAGTAATCCAAAGACAGGGAGGAGCTGAAAGTTGAAAAATTCAAAGCCTTATGCAATAGAGTGAAAATTTGCCTGCCTGTTGTGTCTTTACTGAAGATGAGAAATAGGCCAATGCAGTGGTGAGACATTTAGTGAAGACTTCACATTCTTTTACCTTTTGGGATTCCTCTTGTCTTTGCCAATTGCCCCCAGGATTACAGATGAAAAGACAAATGAAGAAAACAAGTTGTAAGAGAAATTCCAGGGTGTTCATTTATACACGAGCTTGCCAGAAAGCTTCTTGCTGGATTACAAGCACTGAAGGGTGTGCAGCAACAAGTGAGAGGTTACAGAGGGGATGTAGTTCCAATCAATCAATCAATCTTTATTTATATAGCACCAATTCACAACAAGTGGTATCCCAAGACTTTTTTACAAAAACAGCTGGTCTGTGAACGTAGGTCTTTGATTTTCTGGTTGTCTGCTCAGTTGTGTAGATAAAAGCCTTCTGATGGGTTTTTTGACATGTAGGATCACACAACGAAAATGGCCAAAAGCTACACTAACTTGATATCCCTTAAAGCTTTGTCAGTCCAAAATCAACCACAAACTATCAAAACATGAGTGAGCTGCACCACTGCACTGTGTAACATGTTCCTCACCGACCGTGAATACTGGTGCCATCCACTGAGTATTTACTGTATTTGCTTACATTGACATTTGTCTCAGATTAAACACACACTAATATTAATTTTAACATCAGCTCTTTCTCAGAGTATTTCTACCTCAATGGCAAAGTTAAGTGCCCTCTGGAGTTTATATCTTTTGTTTCCTACAACATGATAAATCTTGCTTTCTTTGCTCTGATAGAACAACTGCGGATCTTGGCACCTGTGACATTTGAATCCCAATTAAATTTCACCAGTGAATATTCTGGGACATGGTTTTGGCAGAGTTACATCCTTTCTGCCAACATCCATTTTGCTCCTTCAGAAAGTATAACAAAGAGACAAATAAAAATCCTCTGAAGATTTTTGTCTTTTATTTCAGTGCGATATGAGAAGGTGAGTTATTGGTTTTGAAGCAGAGTGATACACTTTGCTGCTTATCTTTTTGTACATCTATAATTGTGGATTTGATCTCTGTTCAATCAAACGTGTACAACTTTGTGCTCTTTTTATCTCAATAGCAGCATTAGCATGGATCCAGATGACACACAAGCACAATCACACTTCTCCAATAATTTAATAAGATGTTAAATATTCATTTATTCATTCAAAAAAATAATAATAATAAACTGTTGCAATGACCACATCCCTGGGATGGTTGCAACATGTCACAAATCCATTCAATTTTTAATTTTCAATTTTCAAATTTTTTTTTGTCTCAATGAGCATATTGGTCTGAGAATATGTATTTTTTTTTAAATATTATAACGACTAGTTGATAAACAAAATGTTATAGAATTATGTATTTCGTTATCTAATATCCAATATTGAGTTTTGTTTCTTTTCGCATAAAACATAGGCCTACTCTGAGTCAAAGCGCATATGTTACAGATATTAATGTTAGTAAGTGGATTGTGGATTTTACCGAGATATGAATACAAATCTTCATGCAAATGTAACACCGCATATAATGCAACACTAGCTTGGCAACAGTTGCGACAAGTGTTGCAACTGTCCCTAAGTGGTCAGCCATGACAAAACACCATGTGCTAACTAAACACACTGATTTTAACAAACGCTAACCTTGTGACTTAGAAATCAACTAAACAACGACAAAAACTAAGTTGTGATTAATTCACACAAACAGTCAGCATGGTATGACAAAAAATAAACCACATGAAAAAAATTATTTTCAAGCTTAAAAAACAGTTTTTCCCCCCAAGAAATCCAGAAGATGATGCTAAATGTGTCTTTTGTCCTGCTGGTTGTAGTGGTGGTGGTGGTGGTGGTGGTGGTGGGGGGGGGGGCACCTGAGCATGTGCAGTATCAGTGTCATCAATCTAGCATGTTTCTGATTGGAGGAATAAGCCTTGTTGCCACTGTCCCCCATTAGTGACGTCCTCTGTAAACACTAGAAATCCCCTAAAACAATCTCACATATATGTTTCAACAAACAGCAGCTAAAATATGCTTTTAGAATAAATTGATTTTAGCAGACATCATCATTTTCTAGTTATGTTTGAAATTGAAAACCACTAATAGAATCATGGTCATTTAACCCAAGGCTTGAATGTGAAATTGGTTAATAAATGAAATAATTCAATCAAATACTGCCATGTCTCAGAACATTTAGTGTATGATGAAATGACAGCACGTATATCTCTGTTTGTGTATTAAGGTGACTTCTTCAAAGACCCTCTTCCAGAGGCTGACCTCTACATCCTTGCCAGAATCCTCCACGACTGGCCTGACGAACGCTGCATCGAGCTTCTCTGTCGAGTCTACAAAGCCTGCAGACCGGGTGTGTGTTTTTGCATGTGTGTGTCTCTGAGTGTGAAAGGGATGAGTACTTCTTTTTTTTCTTCTGCTGCGTGAAATGAGATGGCAGATTGTATCCAACAATGCAGCTGATCCCAGAGAAATCTGTCCTTCTGACTCTGATCAAAGAGAGACGACGAACATAAAAGCAGCAGACGGTGTTGGGAGGGAGAAACCCTCTCCTGTATTTTTGTGAGTGTATGTGAGTTTGAACATGAGGACAGAAGAAAATCACAGATTTAAGGAAGCAGGGAGGCTAATATTACTGGGCAGAAAATGGGCTTCAGTCTCTCCCCCCTTAGAGCATTTTAACTAAAGCAGAGAAGCACAGGTGATACTGTATATACTGGACACTCTGACCTATGAAAAACAGTCATTTTAAAGTGGTCTGCAGTGATTAAGCATGTTGATTATGAATATTCAATAGACATGCTGCATTTCTTTGGGCTAAACCATAACTAATTGACAGTCTTTGCCCACTAAGTCATGTCAATCAAGAAAATAGAAAAAGTAAACAAAGGTAAAGACAAAGAAACAATAAGGTAAACTGAACCTTTGTTCATCTAACAGTGGGGGAATCTGTAGTGTTGACAGTACCAAAAGATCAGCATAGAAAACAAAGTACACTCTCCATGCACACAGTGCAAATGTTGAAAGTAACAACCCAAAACTAAAATGGTTCTATACAGTGAACAAAAATAATTGGACATGTTATTGCACAAACAAACAATCCAATCCATTTTTCTCTGTCCTGTAGGAGGCGCTGTGTTGCTGGTCGAGGCGTTGCTCCATGAGGATGGCTCTGGCCCACTCACAGTGCAGCTCTACTCGCTGAACATGCTGGTTCAGACTGAAGGCAGAGAGAGAACAGCTGCTCAGTACGCCGCCCTGCTGGCTGCTGCTGGTTTCACCGACACCGAGCACAGACTTACGGGGAAGATCTATGATACTGTGCTGGGAAAAAAGGAGGCATAAGACTCAAAAATTAAGGCATTGGAGAAATCTTACTCTCCTAATCTTGAAAAGCTAAACCATTAGTTTCTTAATGTGTGATGAAACCAGATACTGCATCCACTTTCTCCAAATCTGTGTTATTTATGGAACGAAAAAAGCCAGACCTGTACTCTAACAAAAAACACTAGTAAAATTCCTTGATGGACCTGCATGTGGCTGAGCATGACTGTTCAATTCAAATCAATCCTTGTTTCTGCATTTGTAGCACTGTCCTGCTCAAAACCCACTCGAATGTATTTCACTGGTATGTAAATGTTTTAATCTTTGAGCCTTTGGCTCATGTTCATAAATATTAACACAATGTATTAATGTAAATTTAATGTCCATGAAGGAAAAAGTATGAAAGTATGGGGCTTTATGTGCAAACTCCTGAGAAAACGAACAGCTCTTTTTCTTGGGGCGTGTGCTCAAAGCTTTAGTTTTAGCTCGTATTAGTTTCTTCACCATCATCAACCACCAACACTTTGATTGGGTTTTATAACTATAGATATTTAAACAAATGAGCTTAAAGAAGCTGAAAAAAGGCATGAGACTGAAAGAGTGATGTGATGATTCTCAGAGGCTTTATTAGAAAGCAAGGACTTTTGCATGTAAACTAGAAGGCATTATGTCTGCAGATCATTGTAGTGACTGTTCCCCCAAATTAAATACAAGATTAAGCAAACTACAGTATCTAAAAAGTGGTGTAACAGATCATGTATGGTTATTATGGTCAGGTAAACAAATGACATGAGGGATATATGGATGACCAAAGGACAGTCTGCAGAGTTTCAGAAAAAAAAGAGAAAAAATGTGTTTGTCGTCTTTTAGAGGGTTTCAGAATTTGCAATCATTTTTGAAGTGGGGTGTTTTTTGCAAGTTTGAAATAAGGAGCATTCATATTTTTCAAATAATCTAACACTAAAATAAGTGTATGAGTTTAAAAGCGTGTTATGTAAAAAGGTTTACCAAAGTCCCTTTTAAGATCTTGACAATGGGGACGCTGAATCTAGTCTGATTCTGCTGTGAATGATTAGCCGTTCACTACAAAGGTCAACCTCGATTAGATGCTGTGCAGGATGAGCTTTCAGTCTTATCGCTAAGAAGATGAGCTTTTTTTAGATATCTGTTCTCATCACTCAATCCTGAGCGCAGCGTCTGAACCCCTTGCCTTACTGCTCTTAACAGCCCACTAAAGCTGTCTTTGTACCCTGCTCTTTGTAATGATGGACGTGACTCCATAAATCTTCTCCACAATGGCTCCCTTCACTTTTTATATCACCCTCCACCTTATTCTGTGCATGGGATGCAGATATCAGACTTTTATTAAATCCCAGCCTGTCATTGTGCTCCTCCTCTGACGTTCGCTCTGGAACATTAAGAAATTGATCAGCACGGTACTTGTCAGTGAGAAACCAACTTAGATTTCCTTCAAGTATTTTCTAAGCATGATTAATTTTCAGTAGCCACATTGATGCTGACTGTCATCTATTTATGCATTAAAATGAGCCTGCCAAAAAATAATTGCACAAACTATCAGTTGCCTGCCTGTGTAGCTGAAAAAGATCATAATCAGCCCTCAGACACCGATATTGGCTGAACCCTGCTCTGCATTCAGGAGACTGCGCCACTGCTGCTCACTTCTTCCTCCTTCACATCCACACCCACACAATTTCACTGCCCTCTATATCCTCGGCGCTGCTTCTTTTTCTTGCAGTAATTGTGAATTAATCAGACTTCAAAGTGCAACAAATTACAATTGATGTCAAATCCTTGTGGACAGCTTTACAGACAGTTGGCCTAATGAAGGGAAATGAAGTACTGAGGCTGGAGACGGCTTGACCAGTGCAGTGACAGCAACACTGTGCTACTGACTAGTCCTGTGCAATACTTGATGCTTGAAAGTTTTACGAGGTAGAGTGACTAATCTACAGGAAAAAAATGAGTTGTTACACCTTCTAAAAGTACCTTTAAAATTAAGGATGAATCTTAATGAATCCAGATCTGCAATCCTCCCTTGAACCTCATTTTCTTCCTTCAAATTATTAATCCTCTTCCTCACCTAAAACCAGACTAGATAAGACCAGACTCCAGTGTCTTTTAAGTCTTTGTTCAAACAGGTAAAGAAGTTAACTTCCTCAGGATCAAAGTACCCCACCACTCCTGTTACGAAAGTAATGAGAGTGTCTGGAAATCAGCTCTGTTTGATTTTTCAGATTATTCACAGCAGGGAAAATTTCTCTGTGATTTATAAAAGAAAGTCAGCCCAGGACATCAAAGTCAAAAATGTAAAAAGCAGTGTGAGAGTTATCATCAAAAAACTATTCACTCAGGAATTGAAACAACAATTGGGCTTAAACTTATTTCACATATTTCTTTCTATTGGTGGAAAATCGGCTCTAATTTTGTGGAAGTATCTCTTCAACTTCAGCTTCATTCTCCCCTCTGCTTTTTTAGTCAGTGATTCAGGGACAGGTCAGTGTTTCCACTTCAGAAGAGAGAGGTGCATATATTTCTCCTCTCCGCTGTTCAGTTCCATTTACTGCTCCATCTCATGAGGCTATTATTGCGCTAACCTCAGGTTCAACCTGAGTGGGTTTTATGGACTATTCTAAAAAGTTAGAGCTGTAAAAGTGTAAAAGTATGAGAGAGAAGAGGCTGGACAGGTGAGCCAGGTATGTCCAGGACCCTCACTTTACCTTCAGTTTACGGAAGGAATATACAAAAACATTGATAATAATAGAGTGAAAAGCATTAGATATGGGTATGTGGGCTTGTAATCTAAATCATACGCATTTGTTATCACATTTGGAGGCATGTTCACCTCCGGGAAAAAGAGGAAAAATCAGGGATGATAAAAACAAGAATTCCCCTGGGTATCTCTTAATTGTGGGGAAGGAAAAATTATGGCTTAGGGCCATGAGTATGTCAGTATTTGTTACATAATGTATGAGTGTGCACAGGTCTGTACCAATGAGCGGGCTTTGGAAGATGTGTGTGTGTGTTCACCTTTGTGTCTGTGTTATACTTGCCTTTGTGTGTACTTTTGTACGTGTGTGTTAGTTTTCTCTGTACTATACTCTTCGGGGACACTCTAAATCTGCTCCACAAGTCACGCACCCCTCCACCCTCCAGCTCAAGGATGCCACTTTAAGATAACAACTTCAGGGTATTTCAGGGAATACACTCAGTTTACGCCCACAGACTGTGTGTATTTGTGTGAATGTGTGACAGTGCGGTGCTTATTAGGGCTCCTGGCTCTTTTGGTGATGCGGTTGTGTTTTTGTTGCAAAGTTTTCACAGGAAAGTGAAAGTTAAAGCCTGTTTTTGTTTTTCGAAGCGCAGCTCTGAGAAGAGCATTGGCATTTTAAACAGGAATCTCCTGAAAATCTTGATGCAGGTTTGTGTTTCTGTACATTTTCGGTGTATTTCTCCCCTGTTTTTAATTTTAGAGGATCATATTCTTAGAGCTGTTGTTCATAGATAAGCGGCAGTAGCTCAGGAGGTAGAGCGGTCGTCCAATAACCGGAAGGTTGGCGGTTCGATTCCCCCCTAATCCAAGTCTGTCCGTTGTGTCCTTGGGCAAGACACTTAACCCACCTTGCTCCCAGTGTGTGTCCTCCACTGGTGTATGATTGTGAGTGTTGTGTGGTGGTGGTCGGAGAGGCCGTAGGCGCAGAATGGCAGCCACGTTTCCGTCAGTCTGCCCCAGGGCAGCTGTGACTACTAAGGTAGTTTACCACCACCAAAGTGTGACTGTGTGAGCGAATGAATGATGTATCCAATGTAAAGCGCTTTGAGGGTCTCTGATAAAGCGCTATATGAAATCTGATGCATTATTATTATTATAAGTCTTAGAGGACTTTGTCCTATTAACTACTGTGTTTAGATAGCTGATTTTGATTGGTCAAAACTCTGTAGAAACTGCCGGCTATTTCTTAATAGTACATCTCTGTAGTGACAAAATACACAGACGGTATGGTTAAAGCCTTGTGTCATCTAATCAGTCTATCCAAAGAGGTCTAGTCAGAAAATGAAAAAAATTGCAGATGACAGTAAAGCTCAATTGGGTGATTCATACAGATTTTGTTTCTCTTCATCACCAGTACAAATTTTCAGCTTATTGTTTGTAATACAAAGTTATAAAAAGTTATGACATAAAATTAATTTTCAGTTCTATGAGTAACAGCAAAAACTTGCTCATTTTTAAGTGAGTAAATTGTTACGATGGAGGCAGGCAGGTTGCTAACCCAACCTGCCCCTGGTGGCGTCTTTCAATGCTGTCAACTGTCTCTCCAGAAGTCGCCCAAACTGTTCTTGGTTGTCACCTAGTCTGTTCCTACGGGTCATTGGCTGTGCCAGATGCTGACAAGATAAGACAAGATACACCTCATGGATGCACTGGGATGCATCATCAGTGATGTAAAAAAATCCCCTTTTGCCAATACAATTATATGTGGACAGACTAAATCGGCAGATTAAAATTTCAGCCAGCACAGTGATACATTAGATACGCACAACCAGTAACAGCAGATGGGTTCAAACAGCAAGCTTCAATGTGTTTGCTGTATTGGAGTATTTTTAAGTATTGAGAAGACAAACATTGAACATTGAATTTCCCCTCAGGGATCAATAAAGTACTTCTTATCTTAAACAGAGAATAAAATAGCTGTGTGCAAAGCTTGTGTCTAGCAGAGCCCGGTGCACAGCCAGTTTGGTATTTCGTAGACTGAAGCGCACCGAGGTCTGCCAAGCTGGGCGAAAACACATTAAATGAAATAAAATATCTAGTAAATAGAAACACGTGATGAAGTGAACAAGGTATTTAATTCGTCTCCCTCCTTTTCTTTCTTCCTCTTCCTCTTATTTCTCGTGCAGCTCGACCTGGACATGTCTCTGTGTAATCTCTCCGTCCTGCTGCAGCTGCTGTTGCGGTAGCTGAACAGATGATTTATTTTAGTGATCAGATGAGTTATTTACTT